TTTAATTGAGAATATTGAATTTTTAACACACATAAATTTCAGATTTACAAACATACTAAATTGATCTAGTTTTTTAATTTTTTTAAAGAAAACCAATGGAAGTTGTTCTAAACTCTAAACTCAGACATAATAAAGCATGTAATTTTTTTATTGGAATTTCAGTTTTTGGTTTTAATTTTAAATTTATTTTTTTGAACATTTTATTGTAATTCTAAATAATATTATATGTTTTTTGAAAATGAAACAAGACATCTAACCAATAAAAATTTATAAAATATTGGTTTTTGTGTATTTATCCAAAAAGTAAATCCAAACTTAAATGTTTCTTTCTACAAGGTATAAATATTTTCTAAAACTTTTATTCAATACACTTGAAATTTAAATAGAATCAAAACCCTCTTAATATCTAAATAGATGGCAACACATATTTTAATTTAGAAGTACATCATAGAGTAGGTAAATTAAAAAAATAAATTAGATATTTATAGAATCATACAATGATGTTTAATTTTTAGTAGTTTTTTATAGATATTAATTCTTGTCAAATTCTTAAAAAGTTATATATGAAATTTAATAGAAGTGCTTGGAATTCAACATATGGAATGTCTAGAAATAGAGTCTAATTATTGGTAATATTTTTTCAAATATAATATGATAAGATAGTCAAATATATAAAAGAATATCTTGTATCCAAAATATTTTAAAAACATGTTAGAAGAGAGAAATTCTTTTTTTGCTACTAGCATCTTAATGGTAAATCTAAAGTGACCAAAAAAATCATAGAAATATCATAGATAAGAAATGAAAGGATATTGATACCACCAAGTACAATCAAGTTATGAAATTAAGTTATATGTTTTAAAAATCTTAAATTTAAAAAATAAATAAATAAATAAATAATTATACTTGCTTTAAACAAACTTGAAAAAAACATTGAAAAAATACAATCATGAGATATTTAGTATATGTAGCATGCATAGATATTAATATGTAACACTTTCTAAGGTTTTTTTTAGAAAATTTTTAAAGAGTGTTGTGACATAAATTAATAGCAAGCTAATACCACCTTATACAAATTACAAAGATACAATAAATAAGAAATTTTATCATAGAAGATTGGAAAGCTATGACTTATAAATGACTTAAATTTAGTAAATTATTAACTTTAAGTACTTCAACCATAGCAATAGTACTTCAACCATAGCAAGGTAGATTTTATGTACAAATATCTTCTAAATTTTATCATAAAATTGTGCCAATGAAATATCTAAATTTTAAAGAATATTTGAAGTGTTTTCCAAAACTATCACATTAATATTATAATTTTCTAATAATGATAAACCATAGGTTTCTATTTCATATAGATTAGAAAACTTGGATATTGGAATCCATTTCACTACAATCAATGCAAAGAAGCAAGACAAAGCTGATAATGGTTGGTTTTAAATTAGGACTAATAGTAGAATTTTCTAAAAATAAATATAATAGGCTATAATTTTTTTACAAGATGTAAGTTATATTTGCAAATTGTTTTTTTTTTCTTTTAAGTTAAATGCAAATACCTCTTAAAGTTATGAAATTAATTACAAATAAAAAAGATGAATTTGAGATTAAAATTTTATCTGTAGGATTTCTAAAATTGATTAATTTTTTTTAATGTTGTACTTAAAGTTTTTCATCTATTATAATATACCTTAAATTATTTATCTCAAATGATTCAAATTCACTTTTTTATTAGTAGCATTTGTTATATTTTGATAGTATATTATACTAAAAAATTAACCATTTTAATAAATAAGTTGATTTTTGAATTAATCTTTTTTATGTATTTTTTATAATTATATAATAATAAATTATATATATATATATATATATATACTAAATTAATGAATTGATCCACCTATTTACTAAATTGATCCATCTTATTGTAACCATCATAAGAAAAATAGATTATCTCAAGAAACCATCATTACAATTATGATCTTCATCCCCACCTCCTTGTTTCTAGCTCTTGCTTCTTCTATTATCATATAGTAACACAACCATTAGATGAAAGAAGAAAGGAAATATTTTATTATAGAAGAGCTTAAATAAAAATATTTTAGCAAATTTTCTTAAAAATATACATAATAGACAAGGAGGTAATAAAAATTAATAAGAGCTAATATTACCTTCTTATAGAAGTAACTTCTACTTACTTTATAGCAGCATAAATGAGCCAAATAAAAGTAAATGAGATAATTAATTAATGTAGATATCTTTAGGAGGGAGTTAAGAATATATTTTAGCAAAAATTACTTCAAAATATCAAGAATTGATACTTGAAGAGGACCAATTGTGAATCAAGGTCGAAATCATAGCTTGAGGTACAAAACCATATACATATAGTGACTCCAATTTTCTTTGGTTGATTGGAAAGGGGAGATTTGAGAATAGACTTGGGATAGGATTTTTGAAAGTTGATTTTATATAATTTGAAGGCATATTCAGGTTTTGATGGCTTTTCAAAAAGAGAGATATATTTAGTGCATTTGGATTTTAAAAAATAAAAAGAAGTTTGGAATTTTGAAGATTTTCTATTTGAACTTAGATTTCTATACATTAGCTAATTTTAAAGAAATTGAATAGCTCAATAAGGAAAAATTTCTATTGGAATATCAACATCTAGATTGGAGAAAGAAGACAACCAACATCCAAGCAGTTTAGGAGCTTTTTCTTTCCAATTAGTGAATTGATTTTTTTCAAATTTTGTGTATTTTTTACTTGCTTGTGGTTTGAGATGTAAGTAAAATTTTAGTTAAGAACAATGGTTCAATTAATATTTATTTAGGTTTTAAAATAACTATAATAATTGATTAAAATTTACTTAGGATTTTTTTGAGATTGTGTAAGATTTGTTTAAGACTTGATTAGGATTTAAGATTTAATTAGAATTTGGTTAGAATTTCATTAGGATTTTATTAGGACTTCATTAGAATTTGATATAAAATTTGGTTAGGATTTAATTAGGATTTGATTAGAGCTATATTAAAATTTATTAAAATTTTATTTTAAATTTTTTATTTTTAGAATTTCTTTTAAAATATCATTTTTTATATTTCTATTTTTTACTTCTTTAGGATTTTTTATTATTATTTTTTATATTAAATTATGACTTCTTTATATTTTTTTGGTAATTTTTAAAACATTTCTTTTAGATTGGTTAAAATTTGATTAGGATTGTTAAGGATTACTTAAAGTTTATTTAAGATTCTATTAGACTTGGTAGGATCTTGTTATTATATTTTCTATTTTCGTTCCATAATTAGGTGCTTAATGCATTCTCAAGCAAGAATTCACATTATATGGCATCATTCCCAGCTTTCTTCATTCCAACGCTCTTATTCCTCCTTCCTCTTGTTCCTTTGATGTTCCTCCTTCCGTATTCTCAACTCTCATCATAATCTCCTATATTCCCCTTGTTTTCCATAATATAATAGGTTAATTTAATAAATGATTAAATAATTTTAATATATATATATATATATATATATATATATATATATTACTTTCTCCCAACTACATTGATATTTTCTAAGTATCTATGCCAAATTTATAAATGATATGTTATTTTTGAAGATTGTTACTTATAATTATATATATAAGATTTTTTTGATACTATTTATGTATATAATTTTAAATTCTGATTTATTATAATTATTAAGTAATTTCTATCATAAAATATTTGCTTTATCTTTGTATATATTTTTATTTTGATATGTTTTGAATGTATACATATATAATATAGTTTATAATTAATCTTTAAATTTTTTTAGTTTTATTTTGACCATCATAATAATAATCATTATTATTATTTAAGAATAATAATATTTGAGTCTTATTCATAAAATTTAAAAAAATAATAATAATAATAATAATAATAATAATAATAACAAAACTTTAAACTCTAAACTTGGTGGAAAGTTGTTATCTTCTTTTATTTTAGATTGGATTAATTTTTGTTCTCCTAATTATTTTAAGGTGTTTTTTTTCTTTGAATTTCAAAGTATATAAAAAAGTCACATTTTGATATGTATATAAAATTTAACACAAAGTTCTAGTTGTTATTTTCTACATTATCTAGCAGTGGTACTTGTAGAATTTGAATACCAAAGAATAATTGTTTCCATATTTCTTAATAAAGATCAAAATCTTATGATTTTTCTCATGATATGAAACCATCAATCTTAAAAATTCATATTATTTCTCTCAAAACAAATTTATTATTACCATAATATTTTATCCAAAAAAACTATTTTTTATTTTTTTTCAATTTTTTTTTAAATCAAATCAAATTTAGAGGATTTTAAGAGAGTTGGCAAAAGAACAATAGGCACACATAATAACATTACATTGGTTGCTATTTAAACAAAGATGTTGGTAATGCCACCACAATTTGCTAATGCCACAAGTTGCCTTGAACTTCCATTGTACACTACAATCAACTTTACAAAATATTGTTTATGCATATTACAATAGATTAAGTGCACATTCTTTTTGGATATATATGTTAGTGTCCCAAAAAATGCATTATAATGTGCTATGCAAATTTAGAGCAGCTTGTGACAACATTAACAAAAATTGTGATGTCAAGTGGTAGATGGCAAGAACAAAAATTGTAGTGGCATTAGCAACACCATTAAACAATAATATTTTTTATTAGTTTTTAATATCACTGCATAAATTATAAATTATGATGGTCAATGATATGTTCAGAAGCAGTGGGAGGGAAGGCACTTTGAATTCCATGGAGGACACCTAGTTTGAGACTCTTTTTCACCAATTGAGTAGAATCCTCCAGACATGTACAAAGATAATAGACCAATGACAAGGGCATTGGGTAGTATGAACGAGTGTTATCTAGTGCTTGATCCATCAAAAGAATCTAGAATGTGGCACTGAAAGTCTAGCTTCATCTTATTGGCTGCATCTGATGAAGAATAAGGGTATTGAAGATCATGAAATAATTCTGTCCAAGGTAACCATTAATTGAAAAAAAAATCTTTGTAAATATTGAATTTTAGAAAGAAAAAAATCTTAATCTTCGGAACTACAGGTGCTTTACTCTTACTTTGGGACGCCCTAAACTATTAGCACTATAAAGTTGACACACTGGACATTTCTGTAAGAAATGTCTGTACAACCATCTGATGAGAGCAGTAAAACTATCCGCAACTTCGCACTGAGCTTTCTAACATCATAAATGCTGTATGCAGTGAGTGGACTCTGGTGAACCACTGAAGCAACAGATCATTACAAGCATCTTAGCATCTAGGTCATTCGTCAGTTAACTAGAGTCTGAGAGAAAAAAATGCGCAGCTTCATTCCTCACCGTCATCGTCCAACATATCCCCGCTGATGAAATAAATAGTAAATATCTCTTTAGTAGTACGCAGTGCTTTTGGCTTCCTCCTTGCCACTAAGAGGATTCCAACCTGGAGGCATAATATCTGGCCAGTCCCCGCGACATCCAAGTCGAACATACATGCTCTTTTTACCTGCATTTACAGATAAATGAAACGCTTAGTAACCCAAAACCCGCACCAAGGTCTATCTGGCAACAGAAAAATTGGCTCAAATGCCGTCCACAGAGTGGTTTGTCACTGATATTTGAGACAATTCAATCGTCTAATAAGTCCTGGTCCTCATACAACAATGCAGAATCCCTAAACAAATTCAATTTGTTTCCTACAGTTTGAAAAGGTTAAGAAACAAACCTGGCAGCTCCTTGTCGCCTTCAAGAAAAGCCTTAAGAGCACGAAGTGCACCTTCCGCGGCAGGCCTAGCCGAGTTCTCATCCCAGCCACCAAGGGCTACAACAACATCAGCCTGTGCATACGCTTTTGAGCCATCTTGCTTCGCCCTTGCTGCTTCTTGTTCCGCAGTTTCCTCGTCTACAACACCCCACCAGGAAACAAATTATACACCCCAAAAACACAACTCACAAATAAAGTATTCTTACGGGAAACGGGCGTTTAGATTTGCAATACTTTCGCTGTAACATTGTACGCAGAACATGTCTGATAGACTGCTCTGAAAGGAGACGTAGTTGATTACGTGTACTGAAGATTTGAAAAGATATATTCAGATGAGACATCAGCTTGTAACAGATTTGGCTGACGTTAATTGATACCTGTAGCGGTAGTCTGGTTGATCCAGACAGTGAATCCAGCATGTAAACTTCTCCAATTTCCTAACTGAGCACCCACACCTGGGCTGCCACCTAGTGTTGAAACAACGCAGCGAACATGTCTGCGTACAATGTTACAGTTGAGAAACAGGAAAACAAATGTACGATTGAAATAAGTTGTTTCCTACTTGAACTAGACACAGCTTATGATATAAAATCCAGCAACAGCCATCAGAAACTTCGTTTATGCATTGCTGGAGGTGGTTCATTTCCTCCGTCATAGTGCCTGTCCAAGAACTCAATAGGTAGTTGTAGACTTACGAGCTAAGGCTATCCAATATTGCAGATTCAGTTTCTGTAACAGATTTATCGCCTTCTTCAGCTGCCACTGCACAGAAGAAGATAAGCATTAGCATAGAATATAACCCTTAAAGTGCACCCTCCAGATGACCTCAGTTGAGTCAGGGACTTCAATATACACACCGGAGGATCTTTCCTTCAGTACAGCTAGTGTTGAAACTAGTATAGTTATTTTTTAAATTGCGGCAAATCGAGAATTTAAAAAAGGCTTGCAGGGATTGCCTTGACTTACACTCAACTGGTGATTTGTTAATGTAATCTTGTATCAGCTGCTGTGTTTGAAGTGGTACATATCTGTAAAAGAGACCCAGTTTCCAAAACAAATTCCAATAAAATCAGCTCAATTCAACGACAAACATAGAAGTATTTGAAACTGATTTGTATGTGAAGAACAAATACAGCAAAGCCCCGAAGATGCACAAAATCAATGATCTGGCAAGAGATTTCAGAGCCAACAACAGATCCCAAAAAAGAGAAGTCTAGCCCTGAGTTACTGTTAGTTTTAGTGAACTCTTGCATGTATTAGCACCACTTAATCCGGTCAGATGCACGCAAGGTGTATTCTTAACATTAAATATCGACCTATGTTCAGGTGCCCATAATATAACAATGACATGAAGGATAATACTGTTGGTTGTCAAAGAAAAGGGTAAATTCAGTGCAGGAAAGAAATATTTTCCAAAACTTCAGAACAGAAACTGATCAACATAATGAGAAGCACTTACTCGAGACCAGCAGCTAGCTCCTTTGCAACAGCCCAATTGATATCCGTGGACCCCCCAACAACGTATACAGAAGTACCCTTCAACAGCTGTGATACCCCTTCTGTCAATGAAGCCCATGCTTCTTCCAACGAAGGCCATTTTACATCATCGTCCGTCTTTTTCAAGCTCAGAACGATTTCGCTATCATCTATATACCTGGGGACCAACACAACTGAGAATAGCATACATATTTGCAGGAAATCAACACCTACATTGTTCATGGTTTCCAATCTGCAATCTCGACTAAGCAAAGACCACATTTCATGCACGACTTAAAAGACAACCACGATTACTGCTAAAACTGAACTCACCAGACAGTTTCAGCCGGTTTCACACGGCCATACAGTCGCATAGCAGAAAAAATCATACGGGGTCCTTGAGGACTTCGAACAGCTATGAACAGAGCAGTATCCTGAGAGTCAACATTCACATGACGAGCACTCACAGGAGCGTGGTCTTCTCCTACCATCCCATCCGGTATTCGAACACGCACCTCCAGTTCTGCACCGTCATCAAAAAACTGGCCATCCCAACAACGGTTATCTATGTAAGCGCGAAGCAGTAAATCAGTGGAAAATGTATCTCGTTACAAAGTGTAGGTGAGAACAAAGACGCTTATCAGGGCTTAGAACGATACCTATGAGCAGACTTATCAGAAGAAACATTAGCTACTAGAAAAACTTGAATTTCTTTCAACCGATTAGGTAAGCTTTCAGCACATTCTTGACCATAGACAATACAAAAATTCTTAGTGAAAGTTAGTTTTCCAGGTAGAATATAGCCAAGTTTTAAAGTGTGATTCTTCTTAGACAACGTGCTAACTTATTCTGTCAAACAGAACATGCTAGAATCACTATGTCTGTACCTCGTGCGTAGAAGTATCTAGGGCTGCCGAGCAGACGAAAGATTTGGCAACACTACGTCTCAGATATTTCGAAACTGAATTTGAGGATTTCCAATTGGCCTTAGTTTCGGTGCACAATAGTGAGTGGCGGTCCGCGAAACGGACAGAAGACCGATTAGGCGACGCGCAGCGGGGGGATACCAAGGGCGCCCACAGTGAAGTGGCAGAATAAAGAGTAGCTCCCCTGACGCTCAATGACGCCATGGTGCCTGCTTAATATGCTCAAAAGTCAGAAGAATGTAACCTTGCACCTAAACGAAACAGGAAGAAATATTAATCCTGCAACATTCAAGCCAACGGACCCAAACTAACAAAATCCTCGAGGAAAGAGACTGTTGTCATCACCAGCCAAGACGGATTACACAAAGAACAACAAAGTGCCAAGCAGAATGCATTGCGGGTAAGACCACCAGCTATGAGATCCTACCAAGCTTCAAACGTGCTACACAAGATTTTATTGAACATAACAACAAAACATGAAGTAACGTGCTCATATTCTCTCTCGATTTTTCTCCTCCGCGTAAACTACTTCAGAGATTCCGAATTACGCACTTAACAAGGAGGAAAAGAGAATGCGACATACAGGGAAGCGCCTCCATTATTTGTAACAATTTATATGCTCTCATCGACCACAAACAACCTCTGGCTCAATTGAGATGAAAATTCCTGTCTCAAAATTCTAACAAGCAAGGGCATGTCGCCGCGAAAATTCAGTTGAGAACCAGAAGCGAAGTGAGTAGACTTACTTGCGGAGCTGTTGCAACAATTGAAGGTAGTCAGAGCGACTGCGTTCGAAGCTCGAGGAGATTGAGAGACGACGCCAATCCAGCAGCAGCAATTGTGTTGCAAGCAAGCCAGTGCAGGAAGGATTAGGCGGTAATGCCGGACTCTGACGCTGGTGCCGCTAACGCCAACGGCCGCTGCCGCCGGGCGGTTGCGGATGAATATAGAGATAGATATCGTTGATAAATGTCGTTGATGAATATAGAGGATGAATGTCGCTCGTTTATTTTTGGATGAACCATCGCTTACTATACTTAACCTAGTGAAGAATAAAGTAACCTGCTGTGGCACCACATCTTTTCTTCTTTCTAACATGAATGAGTGAAGATTTGATACATAATTAAATAAATTAATAAATTTTCATGCGTATTTTATGTTTTGAGATAACTAAGTCAATAATTAATTTTCACTTAAAATTTGAATATTCTGTAATTTGTCAAAATTACGGTTCATTTCTCAAAGTAATACTATTAGTTGGTTTGATGTAATGGCTTATCATGTAGTTTAACTGATGGTGTTTCATTCTAGCAACTTGAAATCTGTATAACATCTTACTATAAAAAATCACAACAATTTTTATTCTAAGCTTAACTTATATACTTTTTATGTAATTTTTGATAAATTTGAGTTTAAAAGGGAGGAATTCAACAATACATATCTTTTTTTAATCTAAAATTTATAGTTAAAAAATAATCAACATAAAAAACCCTATATCAAATTGATATATTTTTTTGTCTGAATTTGGTTAAATCATTCTTCAAAATATTGATTTTTTCTTTTAATTATTTAGATGATTTTTTGTGTATTTTCTTTCATTCCTTTGTCTTTTTGATGTTTTATTAAAAAAGACCAACCCAAAACTCAAAGGTTATCACTGGATTTCTCTGATGTGCTAAAAAGAGATATTAGGCACTTCACAAATAAAAATTACACTGCTAATTGACATATTTGTTTACAAATAAGTAAATAACACTATAAGATTTTCAAACTTTGTGGTTATTTTCACATCAAAACACCTTAAAATTTTCAAGAAACTGTGCACATGTATCCCAAATCATATTTACTATTACAAAAACTTGGATGACTTCTAAAATTATGTTTTTTAGGTTTAAGACCTGTTTTTATCTTTCTATATTTATTGATCCATTTTATTTTTAAGTGTCTTGATTTTGGGTTTGTTCTTAGAAATGAACAAGAAAAGTTGTCACTGAAGAGGTTGATGAGTAAAAATATCAAAAAGTGTCAACTTCAACATGCTTGAATCTGTTTTTATGCAATTTGAACTGTATTCTTCTATCTTATCGTGCAAACACACAATATGAATACATGAAGGTAGAGAAACAATCTATTTTTACATTAAAAATAATCTGTGATTTTTTTGAGTAAGATGATTCCTGCAAATATTTAGTTCAAAATCTGAAAGCATATTGTAAAGCTCTTGTTGAAGGCAACCTTCATGAGCTCCACCAAGGGCCATGGAGCTGCACATTGTCACTGCCATTTTGGTTTGTGCTTGTTAGTGGGCATTTTTCTTACACTGAAACATGGGATTGAAGTGAAAAAATATATGAGTTTTCCAGCAACAATGAGGAGGTTAGTATTCCTCAGCGTCTCTCGTTCACTCTACTCCCATCTCTGGCAGCAAAAAAGGTGAGGTTTTTAGGCATGCAGCATGTAGAGCGGCGTTTAAAGTGAAACCAACCTCGGTGGCCATTCCGAACATCTGGTCACAACGTCTACCTCCCATCCTCTCCATGACTTGGGGTGACAATTTGTCACAATCGTCACCAACAGCATTAGCATTAGATCCATGGACAAAATGGAACATCAACCTCAGTGGTAGGCGAAGAACTTCAGGAAAATAAACACGATTTAGTAGAACAGAAACCAAATATCATGTAGAGCTAATTCATCATCAAGATTGTGCCAAAAGTAAATGGGTTCCAGCGCTGAATCAAGCGCAATTTCATTCAAAGTCGGACAGGAAAGCCATAATTTTGAAATGCTGTTATTTCACCTCCCAAACCTGCTGTAACGATGACTAGCCCCCAAGCAGCGGAAACAGGAGCCAAGTCCCGAGTTGGGGTGGCCTCGGCTGTACTTATGTTGCTAGTGATGGAGGCTGCCTGCGTCATGTTGGGCCTAGTCATTCGTAAGGAATCAAGCTTTTCTTCAGGCCAAGTGGCAGTTCCTCTGAGTCCGCCCTCGGGAAAGAAGCTTGGACGCCGCTGCAGGTGAGGAGGAGAGTTTTCTAATGAAAGTGATTGTACTGGCACCTTAGCGCTAATATCTACTGGGGATGCATCAAGCTGATGACCGTGCTTTCCGAGATTTTCACACTCAACCTGCTTTGTAGAGGTGAGTTCGTCAGCCACGGCGACACTATTTTTTCTTCCAGATCCAAAAATTCCCAGAGGGGATCGTCCTAAACAGTACGATGGACATTTCGAGTTATCCTCTGTGCACTTCACTGCAACCATCGAAGACTCTTCCTTTGGCGGAGACGATTCGGACTCACTTGCAACCTGTACACTGCCAAACCTATCTGATCGACCGAGAGGTTCAGACGCTGAGCGAGCTGAAGAATCTGGCCAAGTAATTGCTACTGATACATGGCGTGCTGTGAACTCCTCACACGATAGTTGCTTGTCCCTTCGATAGAGAGATGTTTTGTTTGAAGTGTCTTTGTTAAAAGAACTCCATACAAGAACCCGTGAGTCCTCGCTCGCACTGACGATGAAATCTCCAGATGGTGAAAAGGATGATGAGATTTGACTTTTCACATTACGCAAGCCTGAAATGGAGAAAGTACAGGCGAGAATGAATCAGCACAGAAGGCAATTCAAAATTGCACAGTAAAATCAGCATAAACAAAATTACTGCCAGTCCAATTATGGAAGTTCTCTAAGGGAAAACAGTTCACCAGTAGAAAGACAGCAGTCAAGGTAGTGAGGATTGTACAAGAGGAAGTGCCGGTTCCAAAAAATACGTCAGACAAAAATCGCATGAGATACAACGTACCTTTGTACTTAGCAACCAAATTCAAGCCATCATACACACGGACGCGAGAGTCATTTGAAGTCACAAGAACTTTTTTAGGATCCCCAGGCATACACTGCATGCGAAGAGATGTCAATGTCAGTATCCTACATGGAAATGGATTAAGATCAGAATCTGAAGAATTTTATGTATCGAACTTGTAAAGCAATACCATTGCACTATCCACATGAACATAACCAAATTGAACAGTAAATTGAGATTGAATTGCTCGTTCGTTCAAGCTAGCACTTCAACAAGATTTGAATAGTAAACTTCAATTCACTGAACTCACAAATCGTAGATATTCCCTATTGACAGCTCACAGAACACACAATCATCTAATTAGATTGAGTAAGTGTTACATACATGTAGCCCAGTGATCTTCTTGCCCCGTGCCTTTTTACTTTCTTCGCGTACATCTATATGAGCTTCCAACTGCAACTTATTCCCTGCAACATATTGATTATATGCATTGAATTAGAGGAAGCAAAATGACAAGGTTACTTTAAAATGCTAAAATCTGTGCATAAACCCAACATTACCAATTAAACTTCTAGCAACCCTTCAGCAATTACCTACAATTCAGAGAGCAAGTTTTAAATGGTATCATCACACAATGTTCCTATAACAACTCAACACATGTAGTTTTAAAAAACGCTCCCACCTGTGGCGTTGTAGAAACGGCAGGTCCCTTTGTAAGAACCAACAATCGCTCTCTGAAACCCAAACACCATTACGATCCAATAACCCCTCAGTACCGCAGCGTGTAGCCAACACAGAAGCAAAAAAGGATTTACGCACAAAAAAGAGAAGAAATAAAATACCTTGCCATCTGCAGTGTAACATACAGCTGTGACCATTTCTTGAAGATCACTCCAGTCAACTACATGATGATCGGGAATGCTCCAAATCCGCACTTTGTCATCAAGCGACCCGCTAAGAAAGTAGCGATCATCAAGAGGATTAAATTGCGCACAAGTAACTGCCAACCAATACACAACCATTCCATGTCGTCAATAACGTTCAATAAAAGAGAGATAATATCCTGCACCCATTCAATCCATAATCTGAATACCAGCAAAAGTACAAATTCATAAAATACAAAAAAACTGCTTGTTGAGATTGTTCATCAACATATTCAACCTTGGATCAATTCATCAGCAACAAACCAGTATAATAACAGATATATCAAATATGTTCAGCAGTTCCTTCCGTCATCAGATGAAGAAAACAGTTTTAAGGATGCATACACGAAAATGGTTATCCACAAGATAACAATACATAATACATTCTACTTTACCGTAGTCATTGTGAGGAAAAATCCGTAAACATTCGTCGTATGAAATATGCCACAGACGTACTGTTTTGTCCATTGATGAAGACAATAGAAACTGACATGCAGGCCACACAACAGCTGTTAAGATCTGGTCATTTGACATCGTTTGTATTTTACAATATGGCCACATAGGGCGTAGATGGAAAGAATAGACCACAGTAGGAAGGAAAGTATGCCATGTAAATCAGTTCATTCGTGCGGGCAAACAGAAGTGAGGAAGTGAGGAGATTCGGTTGTGAACACAACAGCATACCTGACTTTGAGACCATGACAAGTCTAGTATATCCTCTGTGTGACCCTTGAAAGAGCACATGGGTTTCTCAGAGAGCCAGAAGAGCTTAGGAACTGGGCCCTTGCTAAGATTGGTAGATTTCTGTTTTCGAGAAGTCCCTTTTCCACACTTAGTGCTTCCTTCATTGTCGTTTTTGGTCGTATTTCTATCTTGCCCTGCCTTGGCGCTTTTGAGGCTATCTTCCATCCGCCCAAGCTCTCTGTCACTCTTTCCAAAGCCGCCCCAAAGATCTGAAACCAATCATTTCAGATTGATAAGCATCTTAAAAGGGTCATCTTTCTCAATTTGACCGTTCTGTAACTAAGCATACTTTCAGCAAAACGTCCTCAATTTGATAGAATGCAGATATCTTCCGCCTCTGTGATGATTTTGCTATTTTGTGTAGTTTGCGAATAGAAAATCCCGTGCTGTATATGACACCATGGCCTCTGGAGTAAGATGTTTACAGGAGGCTTACCTGACTCGGCCATCATTGGACTATCAACAACTTCCCATACATGGATAACCCGATCTTGGCCTGCGCTGGCAAGATAGCGCCCGTCAGGACTAAATTTCATCGTCCATATTGCACCTTGATGGGCTAGAATCTCTTGGGTCAAATGAAGATCAGAAAGGTCTCTCGAACTTTTCTGACGCAGTCTTACTTTCACCTTCAGCGGTTTTCTCCGAATAGAGTCGTCGATGTCATCTACAGGCAGCCCAGAGAGTGAGCCACGTTTAGTGAACTCGCCCCTATCCAGACCTGCAAACGAGCTGTCCCGTTTTGGTGATGCATCGCCGGAAAGACTGCCTGCCACTGAAGATGCATCTGTGTCATCAACACTATCAGAAACTGCAACACTTCGTGCACTTGTAGATTTGACCAGTCCGCCCTTCGAATTTCTCTTCATCGAACCCTTCAGCTTTCTCAACCAGCTCTTCCTTTTCGTGACAGCTGGAGCTTTGTTGTCTGTCTTTGATTCAGGATTCTTTGACCTGATCTGACCATCAGAAACTCGTTGGCGCCTTTTCATCTCTTGTGTGACTGGGGATATCAGGCCCAGAGCCTTCTCGAACTCAGCAAACGTCAAGTCCTTGCCAGTGCCAATCTCTCGAAGCATATTCAATGACCCATCTCTATTGAACTTTTTCATTAGAAATTGCTTTCCGCTATCCAAGTCCCGAATTTTGAAACGCTCCTCCATTAAATTCTCAACTGGATTTTGGCTATCGGGGCTGCCAATCTCGTATTCACCATCCGTATCGAGGAACTGAAAAAGTTTGTCTTGGGAACTGGACGCTACATGTTGGAAAATCGATTCTACACGAGGCGCACTTTCTAACGGTGAAGAACTGTTGCTGTTGAGTGTTTCATGAATGTTGCCTAGTTTAGAAATAAACTCGGATCCGTTTCCACGATTTTCATCCAAATGGTGGATTCCATCAATAGTTACAGAATCGGCGCAATCACATGTTTTCTGACCTGGAGATATGGAGAACCTGGGACCTGAAGGGTTGGAGTCTGGTTCACTATCTCCTTCCCGTGCAATACTATATGTGTCTGCAACTTTTTTTTCATGATTAGCTTGTGGGCCTTTGTGACCAATGCCCGAATCAGTTTTGAAACCATTCTCCGTAGACAATGAGCTTAAAGCTCGTTCTGCATGTATTCCTGAATCCTCGGGTCGAAAACTCTCCAAATGTGCATTGCCTTGTGTCAATACGCCCTTCCGCTTACTCCCACACTTTTCACAAATTAGCTTCACCTGCGTTCATTGCCCAGACATACGGTTTACTTCAAACTTAAAAAGAAACATATACAAACAAACAAATAAACAAAGAAGAACAGGAAGAAGAAGACACATCAAGGAACATAACAGCATTTAATGAACCTAAATTCAAATCAGTGCTTCACTCGAGTCACAGTAATTCCGACCGTGAACCCATTTGTCGAGCGAAGCTTCAGAATCCAAGGATCACGTAACCGAAAACCCAGAACCTGTAAAATGGATTAGAGCCTTCACCAGTAGCGAATACGCAAAAACGTCCTCCCTGGGCACTTTCTATTGCAAACTGACAGAATTTGGGATTAAGAAACTCTTTGAACAGTAATGTAGTTGCCCCCAATGACATGCTAAAGAAGACACGGTTGAGGGCTTACGTATTCATCAGCACGGATTCCTGTGGCGACTTTTTCACGCAATGTGCGGGAGGTTTTTAACCCCACCTCGCTTGAATCGAATCCCCCCACAAGAGTAGCATCATGCGCATCTGTAGAGTCGTCTCTGAAGCCCTTTAAACCCATCTGCTTGAAGAACCGCTCCCTGCGTTCATTGATAGTACCAGGGACATCCTTCCAAACAGAGAATTTGGATTTGAAAGCGGAAGACGTCCAGATAGAGGGACGATCAATGCCAACAGCAGGAGCGACTCCAGCAGCACGCATTCTTACGCATCGACCATTTCCTTCGTCCGCACTGTCAGAGCTTGACGAGGAAGTGATGTCTTCGAAAGTTTCGTGAAACTCATCGTCCGACACAAAATCCTCTCCCATACTTCTTCACAGGACTTGATAAAATGTCAACAAAAACTTCATATTGAGGAAAATGCAGCTATACATTCACATGTCAACGATGGAGCGCCCAGCTTTCGCGCCACCCCAACTTGACAGTTTAGCAAGCCTACAGCAATTGACGATTGGAGCATGAAGACAGCGCTAACTTCGATTGATCGGGCAAAATCTCCATTCCCGGTTTTCCCACATCTTCGATTTAAGCCCATTAAAAGCACAAAACGATTTTAATGAGTTTATAAGGGCGTCAATCCCCCCAACTGGCCAGTGGATTCGAGAAGCAAGAAGAAGCCCACCCAGACGCACAGACCCTAAGGCAGGTTAACGAAGGATTCTGCTTCAGGGGACGGCCAACCTCCCATAGATTCAATGCCCAATGCTCCTCACAGTGGCTTGCACTTAGTCTGGATTCACTCGGCAGCCGTTACAAAGTATTTGAAAAGCCAATGGGAAAGAAAGTTGTTGTCTCCAATGTCGACAACCTATGGTCGTTCGACAAACTCGAGGAGATACATGCGTAGAGAAACACCTTAATGCATCCATAACTATGGCCTCCACTTTCCGATGCACTCTGTCATAGTTGAAGCCGTCATCGTGTAGCCCTCGTTCGAATCTACTACGATCAGGTAGTACCTTGCCACTAATACATACCAATAAACAAATAGTAACAGTCTTTAAAATCTCTCGTCCTCCTAATCCTTCCAACTTGCATACGAATTCCAGATCTTAGTCACGTCCGGGAAATTCAATCCGGTTTCTGAGGACATTACTCTCTTCTAAACACCCACATGAAACCGATCGACTCATCGAAGAATGTGACGCAAGCGTAGAAGCCCTACAACACCATGACACTATTTCAACCGGTAACTCACAGGATACCATTCCTCGTAACCCAACTTATAACTGAAATGGCAACCGGATCCAAAATCGTAATCTCTAAAATAGAAACGACAGGTCACCTCCTCTCACTCCGTTACAAAATCTCGTCGTCGCCGCCGCGCCCGCTGCTGCCACTTCTCCTCACGCGTTTCATAAACACCCAAAACCACCCTTCCAAACTGCCGCCCATAACCAAGAAAGAAGCCTCGATCCTAACACTCGCCGTCTTTACACCTAATCGCAATCCACCACTCCACCCACACTCTTGTCCCTCCACTGCTTCTCATTCTCCTTCTCCAAACCCAATTACCGACACCGCACCACACGATGCCACGGCGAGCACCGAGCCCAGTCAAACCCCCTACAGCAACAAACAAACCCACGAAATCCCAACCCTCTTAAACACTCCCCAAATCTCCAACCCCAGATCTGCGACCCAGAAGCTCCTCAAAATAACACAGATCACTATAATCTGGATTCACCGTAAAGCACACAATGACCACCAGAGGTTCCACCCTTCAACACCCTCCTCCTTCCTCTCTCTCTCTCTCTCTCTCTCTCTCTCTCTCGTTCCAAATTCCCACTTCAAGCACCTCCCCACCTCCCGTTGGTAAAGAACCCAAAAAGCAGGAATGTACTACTTTTTGCAGCTAAAGGAAGAAGACAAGGATTGGGGCACGGCAGAAGGGGATGCAGACTCGAGAACGGAGAACGAGACAGATATGATATGATATGACAGAAGCAAGCAAGCCTGGTCTGCCCTGGCCTGGGCTGGGAAGGGAAGGAAGGGGAGAAAGGCTGGCTGGGAAAAGGGAAAAAGGCCCCAAGTGGCTGGTCTGCCAACTTATGGCCAGGATGCATGTGTATGTGTGGATGATTCCAGATAATAATAATGATTCCCCCCATAAACAATCAATCAACCCCCCAAGCTGCTTTTGCTGCGTTCGAGACGAGGGCAGGGGCTCTCTCTCGCTCTCTCACTCGCGCTCTCTCTGTGAGTGTTTGTGTATCTGTTCTGGTGTGCAGCCCTTCCTTCGAGGCAGGCACATTCACTGACGAAGCACATTGGCTTCCCTTTCTTCGATTCCTATTCCTTGCCCTTGATCCCCTTGCCCTCCCCTTCCAGCTGTTTTTCTAGCACACGTACCTTTGGCGCTCCCTTCCTGGCCCTGGACCTTCTTCCCTTCCCTTCCTCTGCCCCCTTCGTTCTTCGTTCTTCTTCACGTCGTCGTCGTTCTCGTTCTCGTTCGGCACGTTGTTGCCAAGGGTGAACGAAGCGGCTCGTCAACTGACTGGTTTAAGAATCGGTGTGGATTGATGGATAGATGTAGTGATACTTTTGGATGGAACGTTGAGTTCGTGGATGTATGTTTAGACTCGTCGTTCCTTTTGGGACCATAGCAAGTTCAGTTCACCTCGCCACGTCTTTTCTGGGGGTGTGGTGATGGCGTTGTGTGTTGTGAGCTATCATAATTTCATTCATCCGTGTGAATGTTCACTTTCGTCGCCTCTCTGTTTGACGAGGAGATGAGAAGAAGATCACGCTTTCGCCAAGTTTATGGAAAAAGAAAAAGGGAAGAAAACCATCGATTCTATATTTGGATTGTTGATTTAAATTTGTAGAATTTTATTTTATTATTTTATTATTTTTCTTGAGTAGCGCCCTCATATCCGTGGACTTGTAGAGTGTGCTATCAACACCGATTCTCTTATCTTGGTCTTCATTAGGCAAGGAAAAGACAACAAGATTCTTCTTCTTTTTTAATCTGGATTAGGTTTCGTATTTTTAATAAACCATACCCAAAAGCCTACTCAGGATCAGAAACCCAAAATTATCAGTTTGATGGTCTTAACATGTGAAGCAAAGAGCGGTGGGGATTACATTCAAAGCCATTCGACAGGACAAATAAAGGATGAAGAGATAAATCATCCATCTCCCAAAAGAGGACAGAATGGGTTTTTCCTTGGCACAATTTTGTGGTTGTATCATAGTTGGATGAAATATAGGGTACTGATTATCATCCATATTTGAATTAAATTCTTTCAGCAGATCCTGATGCTCTCACCCAGTTTTAGCAGTTCAAAAATACCCAACCTTTTTTTTTGGTGCTGATGGGAGTGTGTGTGTGTGTGACATCCTCTGGACAGGTCACACCTCTGTCCTCATGATCACAAAATATGCATATTTTAGTACTTTCAACTAGAAAAACTCACGGTACCAAACTCTATTTCTACAAGGAGAAAGACAGAAAGATACAACAAACAACATACTCTTGGAGAAAGACAGAAAAGAAAAAAGTAAAGTGACAATATATATATATATATATATATATACATATATACATATATTGAAAAGGGGAAGACAAATAGTGCTTTTTTATGAGGGTGCATAACTGTGGTGCACTGGGTTCATATTTATTAGTTGGTGTAAAGGTTCAACCACCCTGCATGTTCAGTGTTGGGTCTCTTTTGGCAGGAATAGTTGACTATGTCCAATTAACAAATATTTTATTTTTATTTCGATAACAAACTAAAAACTGTAAAAATAAATAAATAAATAAATAAATAAATAAATACACACACACAAACACACACTCAATTGTATTGCAGGAATGTTTTTTTGATTATGTTCAAATCGAAGTTCCAGGAGTTGGGATATCGATTTCCATTTGAGCTTGGATTAGGTTGAGGATCCAGTAGCCTCACAGCAATTTTCAATTTCCGAAAGAGGAAAATTTCCATAATCTCGCTCCTCAAACATATGGTCAAAGAATAAATAAATAAATAAATACTTTACAAATTTTTAATTTTTAATGTTGAAAAGATGTTGGCTAACAACAAAGGTTTGGAGCCTATGAACGCCAGGCGGATGAATGATTCAGCTGGTGACCACGACCCTTGCCCCAGGACAACATCCATCCGTGTCGGTATCACGGAACCCTCCAGGCTCTTACAGAAACAATTTTCAAACCGTGAAAAGTGTCGGCGACAGAGGGGCTTTTCAAAGGTCCCAGCTTTTGACTGACTCTGTTCAGGACGGAGAGCTCCAGCATTAGAGAGAGCCCGTCATCCATCATCCTCAATATAGATGAATGAATAAAATCGAATGAATACCGTCACTCATTACATTGATATCATCGAAATGGAAACATCGTATGAAAAAAATTAAAAAATAAAAAAAAAAACACAGAAAGGAATAGTTGGATGAATTATGTCAATTATTAGTCTCGCCACCACTGTGGGGCTGGATGGAGGGAAAACGGACCCATGCCAAGGCCTTTTTAGGGCACAATCGTCGATGCTATTAAGTTCCAGTTTATTCTAAAGAAGGAGATTGAAGAATGCTAATTGAATGGGGATGGCCAATTATGCTCGAATCTAATCCTCATTCTGGGAGGATTTATGCCCCAATTCGGTAAAACGATTAAGCATTAATTTCGGGGAACATAGGCAGTTATACCAAGCAAGCCTATAATGAAACTGACATAGAGAGAGGCTCTTTCCAGCACACAAAGTCTCAAGCCAAGGCAGGACCTTGCAGTTGGAATTCAAAAGGACACATTAGGCAGTATTAGTTCTATTCACTATTCATCCATCCACGCTGCCAGGAAAGTATTCATTCACATCCATCCATCCTGTAGACATAAACTCCAGGAGGGAGGGTAGAGCTGTGGCAATCAATCAATCAAGGGAGGACTTATAGCTCTAACCCATCCATCCCATGATTTAGGGTACCCATTTGTACACACATATATACACACACCATTGTGCACTTGGAAGCCCCATAGCTGGCTTCCTTCTACTCCTCCTGCTGCTGCTTGCTCCTCCTCACAAATGTAATGTGTTTTGTGTATGTTTATCAAGCTTTCTTATCCCCTCTCCCAGACATGAACCAACTCTCTTTCATGCCCCCTGCCTGCTGAGTGTGGGAATCCAAGTAAGGAAGCAAAGGAAGTGGTTCCCCTCCTCCTCAGCAGGGGTGAGTTGAAAAGCTTTGTTGTCAAGTGAGGTGAGTTGGTGTGTGTGTGTGTGTGTGGTACTGAACTATTAACAAAGAGGGGTGTAAGAACATGTTCAGTACTACACCCAACAAGGCTCAGCATTCCCCATCTCAATCATTTGGTGGCTGGTCAATGGCACTCAATGGCACTCTACGACCTCCTTGGACTGATCACTTGGGGATAACATGAAGAGATCATGATGTTGTCACTAAATTGTTTGGTTCTTTCTTTGGCTTATCTTTGAAGTCTTAGGACGTGAATAAGTTCTTCGAAGCATGCATAAAGAAGAAGCGTACATGTCTGTGCACGACTTGCATTAATGGTGAACATTGATGAACATCATCTTGATGTCATCTCCATTTTTCTTCCTATCTTTGTAGAAAGAGGGGGGAGACAAAGAATGGTATATCGAAAATTAAGACCATGTTAGGGACATACTTAGACTTGGGAAACATGGAACAATCGTGGTCAAAAGTAAGGTAGGTGCAATGTTGTCAACTAAGACCAAAAGAAGGAATTAATATCTTTCACCTAGAAAATATTATGTCAGTGTTAATGACTAAATGGATCATTAAGATGCTTGAACTGGGTCAATCAAACCTCCAACTCCTATTATAGTATTGGTTATATTGCTTTCAACCTTACATTTGAGCAGATGGCTACTCAATCTTCACTACTTCACTTTACCATCTCACCAAAATCATTGAGGCTCCACAATTTGGAATCAAATTACTACATCATACAAAAAAATTCTTTTAGAAATTATATTAAGCAATCTCAAAATTTCAAAGAATTGATGAGTTGTAGCCTACAGTACTATTTCACTATTTTGTTGATTGGCACAAGGTTTTCTTTTAATATCATAGTTTTTAATTATATTACTCAAGCATGCATATCTATATCAAAGTATGGAATGAAAAGCACTTCTTTATAGCTGTAAAAGTTAAGGCTGAGTTCAACTTATTACCAAGCAAATTGAAAGTATGAGAAGCCACCACCTAGATAATATACAATGCATAGAAATATAACCTATGTGTGACAATTAAGAGATTTATAGAAAGAAAGTAAGTGAGAATATATATATATCAAATGAAAATTCACCCCTTTATATTATAATACAAGCAAATGCATTATTTTTTCCGATATGAAGAAATATAACAAATTCAAGCAAACATCCATAACATAGTAGCCATTAATATGACTAACTATATAAGAATGGATACTCAGATTGAAATAGGGCATATTAAGAATTTTTTTTCTCAAAATATTATACATAAAATATGCATTGAGTAAGTAAAACGCATGTAGAAGTATATATATATATATATATATATATATACATATTATTGTTGATTGGCTTGCCTTCAATGGAATCAAGACCAATTTCCGTTGATTATGTTAGACTTTCTTCTTGATCTACTTAACATAAATGGGATGACATCTCATATTTTACTAGCTATTATAGATACCAAATAGGCATGTATCTTACTAGTTACATATAAGTTATGTTAAAGTAATATATGGAACAAGTAGAAAGAATGCAAAGAAGTTGATCTTCTTAGGTTTGTATGACATTAGTCTATAGCTATGAATGCATGGAGGGACAAAATTAATAATAGTATTGCTTAATGATATCATGTTTGTCTCATATGACAGCAAAAAACTATATTGCCTAGATTTTAAAAATAAAACATTGATTCTTTATGCATTGAAACAAAAAAGGTTTAATTTTAGAAAGATTGGGGAATGGTAATTTTTTAAAAAATAAACATAAAAAATAACAATTAATATGAAAATATAAATGTAAATTATCTGATTTTCCTTGAAATTTTTGTATTTCAAGAGATTGGTCCAATGGATTATAAAAATAAACCTAGTTTTTAACATTGTTGTGAACCTTAATTCAACTGGAAATTGCTCTTAAAAAATTAATCAATTCAGATCTCATATTTTAGAATTAATCATTATTTATTTCTAACTGTTTGGGCATGTAATTTACAACCTGAAAATTTTATTTCATTATATCATTTTATAAAATTAAATTGATAATTTGGAGAAATGTATATTTTGCAATGGATTATCCTTTAAATTTTAGTCACAGCCATTCCACTAATCACCTCAAGATTTCTTTGTAATGACAATGTATCAGATTTTTTTATGTTGGATAATGTTCCACCCAATTACAAGAAGTAAAAGAAAAAATATATTTATTTGAATATCTTATTCTTAAGTAGAAAGACATTAAATATTAATATCACTAACAAGATAAAAATGTTTCATTTTCCAATTTAATACCATAGACAACATTTTGAAGACAGTACTTCTACACCACGTTGAAAATTAGGAAATTTGCTTTCCTTTTAATTATATACATATACACACACTGGATATTGGTAGTATACAATGAATTTACCTGTCTTTGCTTATTATTACATATAAAGAATTACATACATGATTTAGAAAAAGGTCAAATAAAAATCTGAAAACACTAATCAATAAAATAAAAATCTTCACCAAGAAAAACTTTGATGTTAACTGAAACTAAACAAGTAAAAAAATCGTGTTTTCTAAAGAGATTTGGAGAAAATTTAATTCAATTTAATTAAATCATTGGATTAGATTACTATTAGTACTATCATTACAATGGTTGAGAATAATAGTAATGAAATTATTGTTTTAGTACTTTAATAGTGATAAAATTATAGTACTGTAACAATAGTAACAATACCATATTATTGTAATAATGGCAACATTCTTATATTGTTATAATAACATTATTATTATATCTTTATTACCGTTATTGCTATTAATATGGTATTTAAAACCACTATTTCTTAATAAGTTTGTAATTGAAGTCGAGTTGGCTACTATTGCTATAAAGAGAAACTTAAATATGAATAATTTCTACTTCAAGGGAGTAGATTGTTGCACAATATCGTAACTCAAGAATTGGGATCTTGTAGACTATCACCAGTATGCTTACCCTTCTTTTTAGATAATATCCACAGAGAATGTTTTGTCTTTATAGTGTTTCACATGAGTCTACTATCATTTATTTGAGGGTTTATTTCGAGTTACTTAATCTACTTGTATTTGATCCTTTATTCATATTCATGTAAATTTGGATGGAAGTCCTATTTTATTTCATTTTTTACATGTCAGTATCATGCAACATTAGTTTACTTCCACATCAATCTGTGGTGATAACAATAATCACAGTTGTACCTCATCACAATGCCATGCAACATGTGTATAATTTTTTTTATTGATTACTATTAAGTGCCCCACTTTCTCTTGGGTCTTGTTACTATCAAAAACTCTGAATGGATGTGATACAGCAATTTGGCCCCATTTGTATAATCATTATTACTGTTGCAACATTAACCCACCTTAATTATAACAACAACACCATCAAATAATACTTCCAATCCAAAATATACAAACAAAAAGCTACAGGTACATCTCATATAAAAACTTAATTAATTATCAAACATAGTTCTTGGCAATTCTTCTTCAAATTAAAATCTTGTTGTTTGTGCATTTGCTTCCAACTGCTCTTTTTTTTACAATTATTATTATTATATCTTCACATTTTTCACAGATTAATTTTTTTGTAGAATTTAAATTCAAAACTAGATTTTACTAAAAAGATCCTTTGTGTACAATTTTAGTCTATGCAAAAATGAACTGCCAAGTGGACAATTCCAGGAATCTGTGGGCGTTGAGAATGCCAGCAGGCCAGCGGTGACACGTGGCATCATGGGACCAGCCCCATGTTCTGGTTCATGCTGGGTTTTGCTAAATTATGGTTTAATAGGATTGGTGAATTAGGTTTTACTGGTATGGACGGATGAATTTAGGGTTTTGAGAAAATTGGATTCCGGTTTACAATTCCCAAAGCCACAGTCCAAATTCCAGTTGTCAACTGAGCTTTGTCTTATGCGATGCATGATGGTGTGAAGAGGGTATGACACGTGGCGTGAGTGTCTCTGCCAACCTGTCAATAATTGAAACAGTCAACTCGAAGATAGGCGACACGTGGGATGCCACCTGGGCATTAAAATCATAGAGCCGCATTCTAAAGTATTCTGACGAGGAGTGATTCATTGCATGGTGTGCTGACCTGGAACGTTTTGGGTTGCTGACTTGGACATCTTGGTTTGCTGGCCTGGAAACGGCCCAGGGGTGGGGTGGGGAATACGGGTACTAATACGTGGAGGTTGGTGCCTTCCTTGCTGGCATTAGGGTTTGGTCCAATAATTGTACCCCATTAAATTCCATATGGTATGCATGTATATATATATAGATATATATATGTGTGTGTGTGTGTGTGTGTTAATATTTAACTACTTCGGATCCAAATCATTCGTCATCCATTTGTGGGGCCTTGACAAACAACTCACAGGATTGCGTGAGTTCCTCTTCATGCATGCAGTATTGTTGGAATCTCCTATTGTGTGTGGGACAAAACCTTCCTGATTCTACCCCCCCTTTTTCTTTTATTGTGTAAGTCTGACGTGGAACAATATACTTCTGAGAAAAAAATAAAAATACTAATCTATATTAGTTGGATGACAGTGTTAGAATCATTGGAAAGATTCCAAGCTCTGTAGAATTGAAGAGTTAAATGTTTTACTTTGGATCATATTGTGGAAATGTGAGAGCATTTGAAGTGTTAAACAAAGGTGTTCAGCAAAGAAAGTAGGTTTTGTAATGAACGTGGAGCAAACATATGTTGAACAAATAGATGAAAAAATCCCTAATTTTGCTTTCAGTCTACCAAAATTAGAATAATCACTCTACAAAAATCGACATTAGAAATTGATGGACTTGTTAATAAACTTTATGTATGGTATCATCGTTGAAGAGGACTTAAACTTAACATTTTAAAAATCAAGACAAGATGGAAAATCAAAAGAGATAAAGTAACTAAAGAGGAAAAAAAAAAAGAAAAACAAATTGTAAGCTAATATGCAATTAATTCAATAATTTCCATTAAAGGATAAGAGAAACATGTAAAGTGAAATAAATTATTTAGACACTTGTGTTTTTGCAAAGCGTGGTGCTTTAAAATCAATCTAGTGATTTTTTAAATGTACTATTAATCTAATATTAATTCCAAACTTTAGTTTTTTAGTAGGACAACAATTGGACAAAAGAATATCAATAAAATTGTTGAATTACTACTTGATTTTTTATTAGAAAATAAAGACATGAATAAATTTTTATTCTTAAAAATCAACAAAATTTGATTTATTGATATTTTAAATGATTAAATGTTTCAAGAAGTACTAGTATAGTTGATATTGTTGTGTTATGTTATATATATACTAGCAAAAACTTGTGCGGTTAATCACTATGATCTTTGGCACATGTATCCATCTCCTTGTTCATCCATGCCCCCTTGTTCCCATGTCCTCTGTTTCCATGTTCTCCTAGTTCCTCACATTCCCTTCTTCACGGCCCATCAAAAAACTTCTTTTTCTCAGTGTTATACTCTGGATGTCTTATTTATGTATATATATATATATATATATATATGTTTCATAATTTATTTCTGGTTAGGCACAATTTTTTAAAGTCTATTGTAAGCTAAAAGCTTTGGAATAAAACTTCTTTAAAATTGGTTGTTAATCTACAACAAAATCCAAGATAGCTAAGAAAGTGTTTGCAGATTCTAAGGAAAGTAGAGCATAGATATTACTAATCAAAAGATACTTTAATTTTGTTATTGGCTAAGCGGATAATTGTAGCTCACTAACCACAACTATAATTTCGATTGATGTCTTTTAAGGGCTTTTATGACCGAAAAAGTGCAAGGAGTTTTGCTTCAGCTTCACACATGGATGACTAATACCAATCTTGGATTCTACCCACACTGCCCATGGGAGTGCTAGGGTCAGTGGCAAAGGAATATTGTGGTATTGTATTACGGTAGTATAGGGATCGGTGCTAGCCGTCCCCAAAAGAAACTTACTGTAATGAAATCGAATTTTTCCCTTTCTTCTTTCAAGGAACAGAAAAGAAATAAAAAGCGGTGTTCCAGATTGCTGTGCATTGTAATGCTGCATGTTACAGTAGTAGGGTAAACAGTTCTCTTCAATTCATCGTATAACATTTTTCAGAGCGTACACATCAACTACTACCACAACTATACTACACACGAGAAAATGCTACGAACCCCAAGTATGATGCATACGCATACAGAAAGTATAATCTTCCATTGGTCAGTGAGGTCAACATATTTTCTCAGTGGAGCAGAAACTGTTGTGAAAACCAATGATTCTTTGTCAAACTTGCGAAAACAGAACAAGAATGTGATCCTAAGTTTCAAGTTAATAAACTGCCGAACAAGTTATCTCTACTCTTTCTTGCACTTGATGTAGGCCACTGCTGGCCTTCCACCGGCAGTTTCGAAGCAAGAATGCAATACAAAACATCCAACACTGTAGACGCATTGAAACTTAACTCACCAAGCAATGTGTTCTTACTACTTCGATGGCTATGCCAGCAAACATGTCATAACCAACAAGGATAAAAGATGTATCACCGTGAACACATGCTAGCGAGCCTGATAGTACGCCTCCGTATCCCAACAGGCTACACCCAAATCAGATCACCCGAACTGTATTTGTGTCAGCTGAAGAGAGCAAAAACGGGAACGGTGTGTTGAGGCACACGGCCTGGAAAATCAAACTGGAAAAAATAATGCCTCTAATGGTAATAAGAAAAAAAAAGAAAAGAAAAGAAAAAATCGTGAATCTTTTGGCATCTATTACGCATGTACCTCTGGAAAGTAATTCAGTTTCAAAATAGAAGCCCATTTGTTCAGTAGGTCACAGCTCTCTTCGACTATACATGACACTACACATCCTCCCATTTGGTTCAGGCTTGAATAGATCATTTGGGGTTTCTCAAGACAATGATAACGGAATCCCCTCGCAGAAACATCTTACTGATGAAACGATCTTTGTTCACAGGCTTAGCTTTTTTCTTGCCTTTACCAGCCTTGGGTACCTGAAGCCAAAATCATGTGAGAATGATAGAGATTAAATCATGTGATAATCTTATTTTGAGGGACGTTGCAGATGACGATGGTATTCAGTTCGCGACGTTTATGAGTACAACAAGTAGTGGCAAAAACAAGATAATATAGAAGGACAAATGAACAAGGTTCTAACCGTTACCTCTGTCCACATCTCCTTCACGTTTTCCAGAACCATATTGCAGTGACGGTCAAACGCTTTCACTCGCCCTAGTAACTTCTTGTTATTTCGGCAATTAATAAGGACCTGCCACACATACACACACAGATGTTTACCATGCATGTGAAGATTATCTCCATACCCTGCTTTGCAGCAAAAATAAATGTGTGAACTTCACTAGGTGAACCAGACCAAATAGTAGCGCCGAGAAGGCCAAAACCAATATCTGTTTGTGTCTAGACATTCATCTGGATAGGCTGTATAAGCCTACAACTATCGCACACTTCCTTATCAATATGTGTATATAGAATATACAGCTCACGACTGTCATTCGAAATCAAAATGCTAAAACAATTTCCCAGCATGACAACCACGTACCTGAGTGTTGTTTTTCACAGACATCGTAAGGACGGACAGCGGACCAGTGGAGAACTCCTCCTCCTCCGTCTTTTCCTGTACACGGCAATTTTCGATTTACAAATTAAGTGGATCTAAACACATAACTCCGTACAACAGGGGAATGTTCCTAATAGTAGATGTTCTACTCAGCATAGACCCCCGCCATTGCTCAACTTATGCATAATCAAAAAACCCTAGAAAAAGAGAGAGAGGGAGAGGGCGAGAGGGAGAGAGAGGCTTACAGTGTCCTCCTCCATCGGCCTTGCACTGCGACAACAAACAGACCGCAATCCAACAGTTAGCAACCAACCCACAAAGGTGCCCTCAACGATCCGATAACCAAAATTTTGCAAAAACCCCCACGTTAATAACAAAACGACATGGAAACCCTAAACCCCAGCGGACTTTCTTCTGTGTCGGGATCATCGCACAAAAACCAAAACCCCATCAATAAGCATAAAAGCAGAAAAAAAAAAACGCAAACAACACTGATATTCTCTATAACACCAGCTAGGAGAAAACACATGCCCCAGAAGCGCCATTCCAACAAAACTCCAAAACACCACCACAGTCGGAGAGCAAGAAACGATTGATAGCAGTACCTCATGATTGCGGAGTTGTATAAGCAGGCAGGGTCTGCAACTTGGTATTCTCGAAGACAGCAGCAGCAGGGGCGGGGCTGTAGAGGCAGGAAGCAGCAGCGATGGAGTTGGGCTCCGAGGACGAGCGTGGAGGAGGAGAACGGCGTCGAAGAGCGGAGGAGCCTGACAACAAAGAGAGCCCTTCCCTTCCTTGCACGAAACCTCCCGTTCAGAAACACCAGCCTCATTCAGGTCTCGCATTTCCCGCTACCCGGGTCTTCAACCCGTTCTCACCCGCCCGGATCCCATCCCCTCTCGGATATACACCCGGGTAACAATGAAGGTTTCTCAGATCGTCTCCGGGGGCGATGTGTTTTCTTCATATTTTCATATTTCATCAATAGCTTCCTTCATTAATTTGCTTCATTGCCGTTCAAGTTACTATGTTTTTTTATTTCTGGGTTTTGTTTTGGTGTGCAAGTTCCAAATATGGTATTTGAGTTGGATTTTTGTTTGCAACCATGTTAATATTTTTTTTGATCCAAAGTGAAATCAAAAATCTTATCATAGCTATTTGAGTTGGATTTTTGTTTTCACTTTGGATCAAAAAAATATTAACATGGTTGATGTTAACATAATCATTTTTGAAGTAAAACTGTCAAAGGAGCTTCCTTTTTAAAAAATTTAATCTAATTTTATGCTAATGTAATTTGAATTTGGAATGAAATAGTATCTTAATTTCTAGAAACACTATCAAACTTTGAATGTTAAAGCCTAAGCAATGAATCTGTGAATGTATTTGAAATTTATACCTTGTTGTAACAAACGTTAATAATGTTCATTTTTTTTTAGTTACAAAGAGCCTAATGAAGTTGGAGGTTAAAATTTTAAGTTTTTATTTTATTTCATTTTTATTTTTTATTTTTTTATTTTAATGAATTTTTGTAAAATTATTTCATATTAAAAATTATGAATACCTTTGTAGAATAACACGTGTTGAAATTTTTATAAATCGCTTTATTCCATTTATTCAAAAATAAAATATGTAAATTAACAATTTTTTTTATATTTAGATGTATATGGAATCTTTTAAAATTTACCCATAAAATTAGATTAAGTTTTTTTATGACTATTAAACAATATTGTATTTTTTGTTGTACTCAATATTATATTCCAAAAACAATCTATGTCAAAAGAACATTTCTAACACGGTATTGCAAAACAAGTGTTTTTTTGTTAGAAAATAGTAGGGAAATATTTTCTACATAAGTGAACATACATTAAAAAAATGGACGATTTTTTGCAAAACAATCATACACAATAATTCATGTGTATACCAAGCAAAATCAATCTTGAATTACATGAATTTAAGTATATTCAATCTGTCTATTATTTTGAGGAGCCAAATAAAACAACTGATGATTTGAACTACATACCAACTATGTAATTTTCTATAAATAATTAAAGTAATTAATTGCATATTTATTCATTCGTACAAGTAAAATCTCTAGTAGTCTTCTATTTTGTATTTTGTATAACTTACCTATTATACTTATTGTAATAACTTTATAACACCATGAACATCAATACTACCATTTTGAAGTCCAAAAGGTCAATGTATAATATTGAAGAATGTAACTCACTTAATTAGCTAACTTATGACATAATCAATTTTAGATAATTTCAAAAGATATCATTCAAAATCAATACTTTTTAAAGAGATTTTTTTCATGTATCTGAAAAATCATTACAATACAAAATAAACTACTCTAGACAAGTTTAGATATTTCTACCTAAAAGACTCAAGTTTTGGTAGACATTATTTCTTTGTTTATTTGCTTTGTATAGCTACTGTACTGCTGATGTTTTTGTGGTGGATTGTTGATTTTTGAAATTTTGAATATTATTTTTTTTTTAATACTTTTTAGCCTCATTAATATCCAACTTATCTAAAGATTCATGTGGTGGTGAAACATGAGAAGATATGTTTTTATTCTTCCCATTCAAAATTTAATCTGTCTTTTGATTATAAGACGACTTTGAAACCCTACAACAAGTGTCAACTTTTTCAACTTTAAACTATTCCAGTGTTAGATTCCAGTTGAAGTTAGTTCGGTAGAAGTGTAAATTTTCAAAATGAGAAAATTACGGAGGCTGTTATTTAACAAGGACAAGACAAATCTTAGTATTAACTGTCAAAATTGCAGTGATTCTAACCATCACATATGCTTTCAACTACACACAAAGGTGCCTACAAATATTTCACTGCTGCGTAGAAAGTAATGGCCTTACTGTAATGTGGCTAGTAGAAAGTACAGTAAACAAAGAATCTCTTTTCATAATTCAATGTTCACTCCCCACTTTATTATCAACATCTGCACCACCACTCCTAGATTTCCTTTTCCGTCGCCTCTTTCCTGCAGAACTAATTAGCCGTGCACATGCTATTTCAAGGCTTGACGGTGCCATTGATGCATAGCAGACCCGAAAGAAACCTGGTTCTGTGTAATGGCATGCTTGACCTGAATGCCAGTGAGAATATTTCAGTCAGTGTGCTCAACCTGAACATACAAGCCCTATTAACCTGCTCGAGCTGAACTCTTCATGCAGACCAGATGATTTACGGATCATGGAATCAAGATGGGCTTTTACAGGTGGCTCTATGAAACAACAGCCTTAAAAAATTCATCATATAATTAAGCGATAGAACAACGAATTTCTTTCAATATCTGGCGCGAGTATTATTCGAGATTCATCCGGAATTTCCTTCCAGAGATGGTCTTCTGCCTCAAAGGTGGGCTGCAAAGAGGTTTCAATACAACTTCGTCAACCTGCTTAGATTACGAGCTAAACAAAGCTACACATAGCATATACTGTATTTGAAATCTTACCATCAAATCCTACGTCTAATAAAATTATTACTGTTATTAGGTTATGATGAAAATTGACGTTATCCTATTAAATATGTGGGTTCCATGCTATGAGGAGGTTCACATACCTCTGTTAGAAGGTTTCTCAAGTCAATCCTGCCAAACATAGCTGCACATCCAGGCATGTACCGAAGACCTGCTGCCTCAAAAGACTTCGTCAAAATTTCATAGTTCTTCAATCGCCTGAAGCGCCACTCACAATTCCACTTCATCCGTTAATGTGCTGGCACAAATATATGCATCAACTCATAACAGAATGTGGCAAGTCGCACAGCAGTATTCAGGAGGTTCAATCACTATTTTATGGGAAAATGACTACAAAACACTGAAACCTGCACTTGAAAAACTTCAATACTTGTGCGCCACTTCCACATTTTAAAAGAGTACCTCGATATTTACAGGATAAATCACAGACCTCTTGTTCTCCTGAACGTATGTATCAACAAAGTTCTCATCTTCCAGCATGATAGCCAGGGCATGCTGAGTGTCGTTTGAAACTGCGGCAAACATGCCCATATTTTGCCAAAACTGTATTCCACCACATCTAAGGTTAGATAGCATTCATGACAAACGCATTACCACTAATGGAACCCAATAAACTCGGCTTCATTCCGGGATATAAATGTAGGAAGGATTTCTTTCAACAATTTCAGCTTTCAAGAAAAGAGACTTAAAAAAGAACAAAATAAAGGAAACCTCACCTCAAGCAGATCCTTATTCTTTGTGTGAAGGCAACCCACACGAAACCCATTCATTCCAAAGTCTTTGCTCATGCCGTAGGCAGTGTGGACCAGCTCAGCAGCAGTTTGAGCAGATAGAAGGCCCTCCGCAAAAGCATTCTTCGCAACCTTTTCCATACTCACAAACTCGTCCATAGAGGGCCTAGACCAAGAACGTTTTTGGATTGAGAAGTCTGAACAACAGGCTACTCTTTCAGATAATGACGTATGTAGCTACTTCAGCTGTTATCTAAAGAAAATCAGCAAATCCAATTTACCAAAAACTGCAAAAACTGCGCATGAAATACCTCGAAGCCCAACCACGAACCCAAATTTGGAGTTGGCATAAATATCATCTGAGAGTACATGTAGACCTCGTTCAACAGCTCAAAGAAGTAGCTCCTGCTCATACATATACGCTTGAAATGAGCATGAAGTACAACTAGGCTTGCTCACCAACATCACATTCAAGAAAGACCCAATGTGTTAAATAAACACCTTGAGGGTTGCCTCTGGATAGAGGGTGCCCAGTGGGTTCCCAAGGTTTGTCACTAGCAGCATACGAGCAGTTATGCCTTTCGATTCTGCATCCAGTACAGCCTCTTCCATCTCTTTTGAAGTTAGGGTGTAAGAGCGAGTATCAGTTGGTTGGACTGGAATAGAAATGACGTCATTCTGCAATAACAATGCAAGAAATAAATAAATAATCTATATTTCACACTGCTGTAGCAAGCGCAAGGATACAAAGTAAAGGTTTGGTCATGGCATGGAAGGGAAGCAACTAAGGAGAACGAAGGGGCTCATGTGGAGATAGGAACATCGTCTGAGTTAGTGAAAATCTCCCTTCTAAGAAGTAAAAATCGTCGCAAAAGATTCACCCGAATAGACATGTCATTGTCGAAGGCGGGAAAGTATGATGCTGGTATCAAGCATCCGTCGCCAGCATTACAGGTTGCGAAGAAGAAGAGATCCAAGACACTGTCGTTACAACATAATGTGAAACACAAAAAATACACAAAAATACCTCTCAGCTGCTCAAAGAACATTAACAACATAACAGCTGTACTAATTGCCATGCCCAAGGATGTGCACTGCAGAACTCAGCCCGAAAATAGAGCAGACTGAAATGAAAAACCCAAAAACTTGCAACAAGAAACCGATCAGTGCTTCACAACAAGTTATCGTAGAGTGAACTATGGGTGCTTACGCTGTAACACCACTAGAGATGCATATATGGCTCGGATCAACCTGGAAACAATTAAGCATAAGATACGGTGATTTTAACTTCCTTTACTCATGTTAATTGTATCATCTAGCATACTCTTGGATGCGTAAGTCTAATATATATATATATATATATATATATAATTATAGATACGGTTCACTTTGTAAGTTAGCCTTGCTATTTGAACTTTATTGTTGCGATCTGCATGATTTGACATCGACGGTTTAAAATCAGCAAGAGCAGGAACTGTAGGGAAGTTCCTGCTACAGTTGGTTTGTATGGGAATTTTCGAGGATGTGAGAGACTGCGGAATGCCATTTCTCGAATGATGCAGAGAACTTTCATGGGCGTTGAGGTACTCGCAAGGAACTTTTATGTATCTTGATTTAATCATTTCCAGACGAGCCTAATTCTTCAATGGAGTAGGCTTTCATGGACGAGATCGAACGACAGCACGCTTTCGGCTGTGGCCATCTGTCCATTCCAACACACCACATTGCATTTGTATGAAGATGCATAGTTCCAATTCATCCTGCACCCAAGTGCTTAGGAAACTAATGCTGATCTTGACACAAAATTGTCACAAATGGAAGATCCAAAACATGGCAAACTGAATATATCAAATTGCATGACCGAGGTTATTCACTACGTTTGCAGGTCGTGGTAGAGTGACTCTAGAAAAGTGCTACAAAATAAAATTGAAACATAAGCTGAAAGAAGCAAGGTTCTCCTCCGATTATGCTTCGGGAAGAGACTAACCTGACGAGCATGATACGAAATACCAACACATGAAACCATTTCAACAGGATTAAGGCACAAAGTAATCAGATTTAAAAGTTGAAGGTACACATGTACAAATAATTTTTCAAATTTGTATCAAATCCATCAGAAGACTATTAGGAAAACGTTCCAAAAAATGTCTGTGTTTTAGACTGCAGGTGTAATAAAATAATGTCAACAAGAGACGAGGGTGATACCACAAAGTAACCGTCAAGGTTGGAAGGTGACCACGGAGTTAGTTGGCATCCTGGATGGGCATCGCATGCAAACGAACGGTAGCGTACAGTCATTGACGGGAAAGCGGAGAAGGAATCTCAGAACCCTTGACCCTAAACCCTCCGACTCTTCTCCATCACATATTTGTAAGCTCGCGTTTTCTTGCAGTTGAAGTGGAATGTTCTGCTCCGTGGAATAGCTTGTACAACCTCTTTCCGTTTGCGACGAACACAGCTCTGAACACAATGCATTTACTGAAGTTTTTATTCCAGTTGCTCGAGGTGAGTCTGTGCCCATCCCACTGGTTGAGTATGCAGCACGAATTCTCTCCAGCCTTTCTCAAATCCCTACTTCACTGATTCAGAACCAGGAACAGCATGAAACGAATTTCAGGCCACCGACATGTAGCGCCACGCACTCGTTTCGAAATTCGCCAGCACCCCTATGTGGACACTTTCCTCACAGCCAATGGAACCTTTACAGACAGATTCACTGTTCGTTGAAAAGCCCTGTTTTAGAATTAGGAAAGTGCATTCCACCGCCCAGTTTAACCTCGATTTGCTTCGCAACAACATTACAGGATTGTCTCCGAAATAAAATTATCCGATCTAATTATATGGGCTCGTTATAATTACTATATATAAATATTATGAAATGTACACACATAGACATCAAAGTGGCTGTAGTTTAGTGGTGAGAATTCCACGTTGTGGCCGTGGAGACCTGGGCTCGAATCCCAGCAGCCACAGAGACTACTTATCTCGTTTTTACCTCATTAACGTATTCTTAGTAGTGCTGTCGTATCTTCAGGACTGTCTGGGTTCAGTGTTGTTCCTGCTCTAACAGAATATAAGAGGTAACGTATGGTGTCACAAGCTTCGTGCTCAGTTGAAGTTAAGTTCAAACTTCTCCGCTGGCAGTCATAGCCGTCAATTCCGTACGCAACTCCTGTCGTTGCTTCCGAACGTAGTCATAAAACATTTTCCAGCGGGTCTAAGCATCTTACTGAAAGCTTTTCAAGGTGTTTGTTTTACTTCATTCTTCTGGACTCGTGTGTCTTCTGGTGCGTGGTTGACGGTCTCGGCAGCTTCGATTAAGCTTTTCTGTGGGTCTGGCCATAGCTTTAGAGATGGCAGATCAGCCATTCGGGTACCCTGAAACACCCCGAAGTGGAACTCCTCTGAAGCGCAAATGGTGGAACAAAAGTGCAAGGCAAAACAATCATGGGTACGCTAGAGCCTTTCACGAGGGGATGAATGAGCAGGGATACAAGATTACTCGACTGAAGATTTCGAAACCAGGACCGCTTGAAGACCAGAAGGTGTCAGTCTGACAGGAGATCAGTTCCTCGGACTGTCCCTAGACCCCCTTTCAACGACAGCTCCTTTCTAATGCAAGTTCGAAAGCACGGGGGATTTGCGCCTGTTAACTAGTCTCCTGCGATTTCTAGTTACAGTTAGAGTCCCTTTAAAGATTGCTTAGAGCATGGAGATTATGGCTATGGCTCCATGATTGGCCTCATCCATCTTCGTTCTACTGTTGATGCAGATGAATCGAGTCGTACCAACAATGCTGGACATAACCCTGATGAGATTAGCATGCGCAACATGGACCGGCAGCTGCCATCCTCCCCTGCAGATTCTTTGGAGCGATTGGAGCAGCGAATTGGTTGGGGGGTGAGCCGGTTTGAGATGAGGGAGTTGACGAGACATGATAAACACAGACAACAAAAATGGAAGTTGAGAATCTTGTCTTGCAGGATCGTCGTCCCTTGACACAGCAGGAAATTGGCGAGCTTCGGCAGAGATTGCCCCGACAATAATTTAGCAGCCCCGACGACAATGGTAACACGCGATATTGCCTTGTCAATAAAGATGAACTCAAGCATCGACGTTTGATGCATATGATTGTGTTCACTCTGTCTTAAAGTTTTCTTGTTAAGCTTAGTTGCAAAAGCGACTGGAACAACGCAGCTTCCGAATGTACAAGAGAAGAACAAGCTTGTTTCGTGGTGACACCTTGAACAATATGAGACAAGACTTCCTTAACAGATCACAATTTCATGCTTTGGTTGTGTCCAGGGTTATCATGATGAGTTTCACAATTTGGGTACGACTATGTTATTGAATTCGCCGATAATTTCAACAGGTGTTCCTCATTGATGTGAACAATCTCAAGGATGGGACTTGTTTGACTGAGCGGGTAAGCTTCCGACACGAAAGTGTAGCATGTAGACAGTTCCACAAATAGGATCGAGTTGTAAAGCATAGACCAACATAGTGTAGTTACTGATCCGAAGTCTAGACGCCAGCAACACTCACCTTCCAGTTGGTGAAAAAAGCTCGACAAGAAACATTTAGTAAATAGCGCATGTCTCCACCCTTTCAGGATACGGCAAGCTTGCTCCACTCAATCAATTCAAAAGCTTACGAAAATTATGCAAATAGAAATCCAAACTGGCATTTCGTGCCAACCATGATAGCCTGTATTCTTATCAGTACTGACATATAACAAATTCTAGAACACATTCGGAATAAAAGTTCAGCTGACAAAAGGGCAGCATGTCACCTCTATTTCGTGAGTGAGTCATTTGGTTCATTCTATAAGGCAGAAGGCAACAAGCTGTTCAAAGCACCAATTATTGCTTAAATCCATTCCAACCACATGGAACATCCACAGCAATAAATTCAGAACCCAACGGAACGAAATAGTATCACCATCATTTTAAGAAAGAAAAATTAATGGACTGTCAACAAGGAAGCATATAAACTCAATAATTACTCTGAACCCCAGTACTTCGTTGCAAATCCTCTTGTGAGCAAGATAGCTTGCGATTGAAATACCGAAACACAGGCAGAATTCATATAAGTTGCAAAAACTTACAAGCGATGTGCCACAGCACCTATCAAAGTATTATTCCATCGTAACTGTAGCTCCTACGGTCTTCAATTTCTCAATAATTTGCTCCGCTTCTTCTTTGCTAACTCCAGACTTCAATACAATAGGTGCCTTTTCAACCAGTTCCTTGGCCTCTTTCAGTCCCAATGCAGTGAACGTGCGCACTTCCTTGATAATTTTGATTTTAGAAGCTGCATCAAATTTGTCTAACTTCACATCGAAGGAAGTTTTCTCGGGCTTCTTCTCCTCTGCAGCAGGGGCACCACCACCACCAGCGGGCATTCCCATTCCTGGTGGCATCATACCCATAGGCATCATTCCCATGCCTGCTGGCAACCCTAATTTCTTCTTCAACAAAGTGGATAAATCCACGACTTCAAGGAGCGAGAGCGTCGAGATTTCGTCCGCAATCCGTTGGATCTTCTCCGAGGGAGCTGTTCTAGCTTCAGTAGGATCGTAATCGGGTTCAGCTGCGGCGCTGGCGAAAAACCTTGACGCCGGCTGGATTGACCTTGATGATTCATAGTGGGGACCTACAGAAGAAGGGCGAGACACAACATTCCGAAAGCATCGAACTAAAGAGGACGCATTCGAGTTAGACCACAACCGACTCATTGCACTTAAATACTTTGCACTTGCGCAAGGCTCGTTCTCAAATATCACATATGCAAGCAAATGATTACAAAACCCTTCAACCCTAAGAAAATTAGTCTACTCTCTCATCAATACCCTTCCCTCTCTTCTTCTTCCCCCAAACTGAACCCACTATGGCCACTCCTTATACCCTAAACCCTAGAACCCCTCCATTTCAGCTTAAACCCTGATCGAACACCAAACAGCCAGCAACCACGCAAAACCCACGTCGACAATGCACACAAAGGAATTCTCATGCGCTCTCCTCAAATATAAAAGGAATCGCCACAAGAGACACACACGAGAAGAGCCCGCTTTACACGATGAGACATGAAATGTGAAAAAGAAAAAACGGAGTGGCGAAAACCACTATCCCACCGAAAAGCAGAGCAGCAACTCCAATTCCCCGTTGAGAAGGCCAGAACGAGGCGTACAGAGGCCGAGAAACGCCACACGCACCGCCCACGCAGAGCGTCTCTCGATCGATCGAGCTCCGATTCCTCGACGAGGCCCCTTCTCTCTCTATTTTCCCGCAAAGCGCCGCTAGGGCTCAGCACACATCCAAGATTGTTACACACTTCGTAGATTCCTCCCAGTTTAGTTCATTTCGTGGATTGTTGTGGGGGCATTTGGTAGACGAAAAGCAGTCGTCGAATTATGTTCTCAATGTGCAGATGCAGACAGTGAAGGGTTCTCGAAACGAAGCTATTGTGTTTGGGGTTTATGGAAATTGGTCACTTTGTTTGAGATGGATGTTCGTTTTTTTCTCGTTGAAAGGTTTGAAATTAAATTTTTTCTTCAACTACTTCGACGATTGAATTCATTGTGGGTGAAATCTCCATTGTGTGCATGGGCGCTTGATGAAACAGACATCGATTATTATACATAGTTGATAAATTAATACATTCTAGGATTCTGTGAGAGAATGCACAGAATGTAATATATTTTTTATGTTTACGTGGGTTCTTTCTTAGTGAGAACTTATCACATTCTAAAACATATTTGATAAGCATGTGTATATGTGTGTATAAATATATGAGGTTCTGTATAGATACATTTTTTGCATAATCAAAATAGCTAGTCATCTGATATTTTATCTGATGATAATGAAGACATGGTAAAGTCATGTATTATTGTGATTTGATTGCTTGCAAATGATTGAATAAAGTAAAGAGGTTCCTAAGTCACGATAAAATTCTAGTTTTAATTAGTTTCGTCAGTGTTAATACGTTTTTATAAGCCAACTTCTATAAATAACATGTTAAAGATTTGTCAAAACGACTTGGTTGTTAGGCAGCTAGCATTTGCAATGCGATGTAAAGGGTTAACAACAATGGCTAAATAAGGTGGTCAAAATACATTCTTAAAAAGTATGTATTAACAACTGTGGGTCTCAATGATAATGCATTAAAACAATCTATTTTATTATCTTACAGGTACTGAGCTTAACACGGTTACGTGCGCATTTGTAGCTTCTTAAATTACTTGTGGATTCAATTGTATCCGTTAATGTCTGCTTTGCAATCTTATGCTAAGGTTTAGTTTCGGATGCATTAATGTAACCACAAATCAATGAAATTGACTTTTGTTCAGTCTAATGAGGATTTTATTGTTAGGAGGTATGCAGGTGGATATATGCAGAGGATACAAGCGTGACAAGTTTGTTTACAAAATTTGTATTTTATAAGCTGAAAGAAATTCAGATTAAAAAATTCTGTCCATATTAAAAAAGTAATATGAGCAGGCATAAAACCGCCGCAGCAGATTTTCTCGTCCCGGCTGGTATCAGTGGCACAACTCATCCAACCCAGGGATGATAAGGATAATTTTCAAGACTTTGAAATTGTTGAGTTCTCAGCAAGGAAAGGTTTCCTCGACCTTGTGCACTACAAACATTGTACTGACCAGATCGGATGACTAGAGGACCTGAACAATGAGCCAAAAACAACTTCTGGCAGTAAAAGAAACTTTCTTAAAAATCCAAAAAAATGAACAAGAGCATATTTGTAAGATTCAACTGAGGCCCTTCAGTAAAATACGCAATGCATCACAAAATTATGGACCATTTTGTCGAGGTGGATATCCATACTAATCCTCACACTTCTACCATGCTACCAAAAGGACCGAAAGGACTGTCGCACCTGAGACCGCGAAAAATCCAGAACCACTGACACGTTTGATAAAAGACAGAGCACATAACGCTCACCAAGTCCTTTGCAACAATGATTCCATTAATGCTCGCCGGTGGTTCATGCTCACTAGCACAAGCTACGCTTAACTCATTACAACGAGTAACTAAATGGACAGCTTCATCTTGAGCTTCGGAGCAGAACAGGCCCTAAAACAGTGCCTCATCAAGAATTATCAATCATCGTCTTCAGCAGCATCTTCGTCCTCAGGAACACCTCTCAGATACATGACATTGTTGCATCTGCAAATACAAGAAAAAATTAGGTCAAGAGCAAAAAGTTGCCTCTGGATGTGATTCTGGAAGGTCCAGGTATACAACATTGAATACAGCAATACGTAAACGGAACCCTAGGAGATTTGGAAGACGAACCTGATGAGGACTTCTCCCAAGTTGCCCGTGAATGCCCCATCCACAAACTCTTCCGTGCTTGCGAGCTGGTAGCCACACACCAACCACAATTAGGTCTGGCAAAAGCCATAATCATCATTCAACAACAACTTTGATTTTGGATTTGACAACTAAAAAAAGTTCCAGGATTGATACTTACTTGGAGATTCATATATGAGTCGACCGACACCAAATAACCTGTTCTCACCACACCAGACATTCAACTGCCACGATTAAATGTATTACCCTCAAATACATATGTATTCAAAGGAATCAACCCCTGGAAAACCCGAAAACCATAAGACCATATTGCTAACAAAAACAAAGCAAAATAAAAACAAATACAAGAAACAAAACAGAGCACCTTTGTATTCCATCCCCCACTTCAGTTTCACGATCACCGGCTTCCCTGTCAAGTCGTTCAAAAAGGGTTTCGGATTCACGGGGATGGTCTGCACAAGAGCTCACAAAACAAAACGAAAACAAAACAAAAATAATCACACTCACTTCAATCTGTCGAAAAACAAGTCATAAGAAAGTATGCAAACAACACCCACAAAAGCAACGACGTAGAAAAGGTAAATATCATAATTGAAATCAAAATGAAAAAACGCTCCAAAAAAGACTGCTGTAAAAAATATATATATATATATATATATATAACGCAAGGAGTGAGGTTGAATAACGTCTTACCGCCATGACGAGAAGCCAAGTAAAGGGAACGAGTGCCCTTCTGCGACGATGATGATGTAGAATGGTGCGAAACAATCTGCAGCAGCAGCGCTGAAGCAAAAGCTGGCGGCAGCACTCTCTCACTCTCACACTCACAAACCTCGGAGGAAGGGGGCTCTTCCTTGTCTACACTCTTCTCCTTCATTCGTTCGTTCCCGATTCATTCATCCTCTTCAACTTCCTCCGTTTCTTTGTTGGATGATGTAACCGTTTGATACCCGGACCTTCCCCCGGGCAACATGTAAACGTTCCTGCTGCGTTTACCCCAACGTATTAACTGTTAGAGTCGAATATTTTCGGCAGTGAGTGAGTGAGTATTCGTGATGTGTGAAGAAGATTACGAATTGAGTTGAAAAGTACCTTTTTTTTCAATTACGGGTTTTGGGTAAAATATAATCTTATATCATTGAAAGAAATAAAGTAAACAAATAAGCAATAGATACATGATAGAAATAGACTACAATGGTTATTGCCAATTACAAAGAATCTAGAGAGTCTTAAACAAAGGCTAAAATACAAGAAATATCATGACAAGACTAAAGTTTGGCCTTAGTATTGCCTTGTTTGTATATATATATATATATATATATATATATCAACTACCAAGAAAGTATCATAAAAGCATCTTAGAAACCACAAGGTTAAAAGTTTGCAAAAACATTAAAAGTTTGCAAAAACCTCTTGCAAACTTTTAATGTTGTAACTACATCTATATATATATATATATATATATATATATAATATATATAACTTATTCTATCTTGAATAAGTTATATTAATAAACTATGTTACCATATCTCTATTGTCTTCTTTTTTATGATTAATGTCTAAATTTCTAAAGCCATTCACAAATAATACATTTTTATTATAAATTTCTTTTAGATGTAATATTTTTTAAAATTTTAAATTATATATATATACACACATGTATTGTGATAATCTATTTTAAATAGTTTCTTTAAGTATTGTTGGCATGTCAGATTTTTAAAGTTAGCCTTGCAAGAAACATTATATTCCAAATATTTTTATATCACATTATTTACTAAGAACAAACTTATTCTAAAAGTGTTTTATAAAAGTAAAGTATACAAATAATTTTCATTGTATTTTATACTTCTTTATTAGCTCTTAAATCTAGAAACTATTTTGTTCAACCTAGTCTAAATCTAATTCATCTTTCTTTATTTTTTCTATTATCTTTTTAGCCATTTAAACATCATCGTCATTCATTGATATTGATTTAATTCTTTCATAAATTATGCTAAATAATTTATTTCTAAATGCATAGCCAACATGTAGAATAAGAAATAATAATTATTTAATTTTATACCCTCTATGCAATGTAATTAGTTCTACTTGATTTTAAAATCCACTCTTTGGTAGAAACCATCAAATTAAATTTAATACTTGATTGGGCACATTTTATATCTTGTACTTGGTCATTCTAATTTAAATCTTTAATTGCAATTCAACTTCTAATTTAAGTGTATTTTAAAAATATTGTGCTAAAATTAGAATCCTACAACTTATTTATCTTTGTTTTTCTCAGTAAAATCATATACTTATATTAAAAATACCAACCTGTCTAATTACAAAATTAGTCATTGTGATTAAACTTTTTTTTGATATGATCTATCAAAACAATTCAACTCTGATATTGTATAATATTCTTAGAGCACCAACATACAATTTATTGAATAATCTACTAAGTTAGAACAGTCTTTTATGCAGTTTATCATACTTGATTATTGCATTCAAATAATAAGACAGCAATTTTTCTTTAATTTGCTACAAAGTAAAGATTAAAAAATAGCATATTATGAAAAAATTAAAAATTGTTAACAATCATTGATATGGTTGTTTCAACAAATAGATAATACAATTAACATCTAAAAAAATATTTTTTATAAAATTCTATATAACTTTTGCAGTGTTTTGATTTTTAAACTAAAAAAAGTAAATAATATGATATCATTTTAGTTTTCATAAAAAACTTTACATATTTAAAATTAGCAAACCTTCATTTATCAACAAGCTACAATCTAAATTTACCTCTAATGGCTTCTAGCTTTTATGGCATCCAATATGCACTTTTGTTACAAAATAAAAATAAAAATAAAATGAATATAACACATTCAGCTGAAACAACAAGATGTGCTTGAAACACGAGGGATGAGGAAATCAAGGGATTTCGGAGGTGGGAAGCACTTTCGGGGATTGCCAATTTGTAGAAGGATGATAAGTGTCCAAGACATGCCCGCCCATCCATGGAATCAAATGGAAAAGTTGTAAATAGAGAGGTACACAAGAATAGGACTCTGAAAATTTAACGCTGTCAGGTAGACTCTCTGCACCCCGAAGAACAAAAGACCGACATGTAGTGGCAACCCTAGACAGCTAAGTATTCAATGAAGATGCGGCAATAGGATTATTTCCTACAATAACGTGATTGTTTGAGGTTTCAATTCCACGTCAAAGACTAATTCCCAAAATTAGCCATTAGTACGAATGTGGTACCATCAATAACCATCTCAAGCGGTCATTCGTCAGTTTCCAGAACAGATAACTCGGAGGTGAGATGCAAGATGCTTAGAAAGAGCACATATAGGCATATCTAAGGCCAACTTAACACACCGACTTTAGGACGGGCATCACTACTGAGCGAAACATATTTCATGTTAACAGATGCAAAAGGTTCGGAAGTCTCACCCTGGAGATCACGTTAAGACCGTAAATGAGGTGATAACCTAACAGCAAAGGAGTGCAAGCTTAGTCCTGTGAACGGCTGAGATGTAGAAAAAATTATATACACTCAAACATATACGCTCAAGCGCAAAGAACTGACAATTGGAGCGTTTAAGGCCGTTGAAAGCTGAAGTACACAAGAATTGGGTACAGTGAAGTACAAATGAAAAAAATCTGTAACGTTAGAGACACACCGAGAAAGCTAATGTCCAGCACACAGAGGGCTAACCCTGTACGCATCCCATCGTCTCATATACACAAGGCATTAACTAAAAAATCAGAAATCCCACACATCGACAGCCCGCAACTTCGTCAAGAATGCCGAAGAAGAGGAACCGTCTTCATGTATCCATAAAATTCAATTCCCTCTTCGAAATGATGGAATATTGATACCGCTGGACAAATCCTTCCTGAGCTATGGTACGGCGGGTACAACCCTTTCAGTCCTTCTTCGACGTTTTGTTGATTAGGGACTTGTGAATGTGGGGAATGACACCTCCTCCAGCAATAGTTCCTTTGATAAGAGTGTCTAGTTCCTCGTCACCCCGGATGGCAAGTTGTAAATGACGAGGAGTGATACGTTTCACCTTCAAATCCTTACTAGCGTTTCCCGCCAACTCCAATACCTCGGCGGTAAGGTATTCTAGGATGGCTGCTGAGTAAACAGCGGCAGTTGCACCCACTCTTCCATTTGCGGCCACCCTTGACTTAAGCAGCCGGTGAATACGTCCGACTGGAAACTGTTCTAAACACAACACATGTAAGCACTTATCGGAAGGATCTCCCTGAGATTCCAGGTAGTCAAAGCTTAACAAAACTAAGCCCGGGTTTAAGAGGACCTTAATGTGTACACAATGCCAATAGCTGCACTATGTTCAAAAGCTGCAATATTAATCGGTCGTGGTCCCAATTACGAGTCAATGAAGTGAACCCAACTTCAGAGTCCATTAAGAGCACATTTGCACTCAGCTCAACCAACACTTGTGTCCTAATGTGCTGACTGCAATTACTCGTGAACACAGCACTGACTCATTTTGCCTAATAGATCATCCCATTGCCAGTTAGTCCCGTCCTATCTGAAATCTTCAAGCGAGGTTCCTCAAACAGAAGTAGATTAACAGAGTCCTGAATTCATTTAAGAGCATCTAAGGGAAGGGAAACGCAGGTATCAACATCGACTTTGCTACGAACCGGGAGAGAAAATAGAAAGAGCATGATGAGGACCCCTGTATTTAATTGTGTACCATAGAAACCACGTAAGACAGGTTGTGCAGAGCAACGAGGAAGAAGGCATTTGGTGCACCCAAGTTAGAAGCATTGCCAAGAAAAGGCTGAATAAAAGCCCATGTACGAGAGAGGCAAATATCAACTCCAAACAAAGAGAAGGCTTCAACATCGAACCTGAAGACCGGCCCGGGATGATCGAGAAGTAGGCTTCTTCTTATCCTTGAGCTTGTCGTCTACAACAGCAGCTGCTGCTGCTTTACCCATGAGCAGCCCTTTGGCGCCTTTACCCGACTGATTCCCGCCAACCACCATGGTGTCTCGTCTCTCTGTCGCAAACTCCCTCAGATGAGAATTAAAAATAAGCTCAAGCAGCCAAGACGGTTATCGCCAAACGGGCACCTCCCAGCAGAACAGTTACTTTCCACAAGTAACCCCAATACTTATTTTACTTATTAAAAAACACTATAAAAAAACAAAAAACAAAAAACAAAAAACACAGAACACCCAGACAGTAGTTAGTTGAAAAGTTCGTAGCGAAATCAGAGAGACTCACATACAAACAAACAAACAACCTCGTAGGAAAGCCAATTCCTCGCAGCAACCAACTCTCCAAACTCCACCACGTAAACTTGCCTCACATGATCTCAGCGTAACGAATGCCAACGCTACAAACCACAAAATCAGGCGACTTAAGCGGAGACCGCCTCCACGCACACACACACTTACTCACATCCAACACTGTAGGCATGCAAACCAAAACTTGTCACATTAGCACTGTGCCCACTCTGGAAGGAGACGACATTTTTCCCGCCACAACGTCCCCACAACCCCCAAGGCCAGCCACGCGACGCCGATTGACCCGCCACAGCACAACAACAAATTGGTGTTTATTTTTGTTTTAAAACGAAGGAAGGCCCACAGAGAAAGTTGGAGACAAGGACATAAACTACTTGGTCGGGAGATGCGGAATCAGCAACGTAATCGTGGCAGCGCAGAATGAAGGATGGGTCGTCAGAAGGAAAGGCAGGTAGGCAGGCAGGTTGTGCTTGCCCACTACACCAGAACAGGAACACAACGAAACGAAACGAAACGGGGAAGGGAACAAACAAAACAGGAACGGAGAGCGAGCGAGTGAGCGAGAAAGAGAAAGAGAACGAAAGAAAGAAAGAGAGAAAGGGCGCGGGGCAGGGCAGGGCGGGACGGCAGGGCGGGGAATCGCGGAGATAGGGGATGGAACATGGCGCGCGTGGGGATGGGAATGCTGGCGGTGGTTCACCCACCCCCGCCGCTGCCCCTCATGCCACGCCCGGTGCTGATAACTTGTCCAGTCCAGTGTGGAAGTGGGGGAGTGTAACCGGGTATGTGGTGCTACTATACCCCAGAGGAAGGCCTCATCGGGATTTTGGATGATACCTGGGTTATGTCCATTCGCCGTTCGAAAGCACGTTCGCAACAAGCGATGTGTTCTTGGCTTCCACGGTTGTCAATCCAGTCACGAATATTTTGTAAATGAATGTGTTGTATTCTACATGCATCTGGATTGTATGAATCAATCTTATGTATGTTTTGATTTCTTTTCATGATATTTGGATTATATCAGTGTCTTTTTTTTTGAAGAATATTATGATGTTCAAATATAGCTAAATATAACTCAATATTTTTATTTTCTTATTTTCTTATTTGAGACACTGAAAAACTTTGGACTTAAAGCATTTTGATCTACATGCTAGAAATAAATTTAATGTTATTGTATCTTCAAAAATTCAATGGTTTCTTGTTTATTGACATACTTCACATTTGTTTTAAAGATCAAGAGTAAAAAATGAAATGTCATCACTTCATTGCATGTTTGTGATTGTTTTCTAAATGCATAAATACTTTTAAAATATAGTAAACATTTAAATATTACTACATTTCATAATTAAAAAAAATTTATATATACATATGTTCATATACATAGATACATATGAAAAATAATAAATTATCATGTGTACCTATTTATAAATATTTTTTGAAATATATAATTTAAATATAATTAATGTGATTGTTTAAATATTTTTTAATATGGAGATAAATTTATTAGTATTATTATTATTATTATTATTATATTTAAATTCTAAGCTATATTTTTGTACCATACATTTTTATAAAAATATTATTCAAAATATATAAATAAATTTTGATAATGCATTTTGAATAATATTTTTGTTGATATAAAATTATGTATTATTTTTTATTCTTTATATTCTTATCCTTGATTATTTTTATTTTAAATTTTACTATAAATTTTGGTATTAATCAAAATAACTGCAAATAAAAATGCAATAATTCTAACCAATTTAATGTCACGGATATATATCTACTGTAATTATTATCTAAATAATATGAATATGTAGAAATAGGTAAAAGTAGATTAATTTCATAATATCTTTTAGAAAAGCTTCTTAGAAGCTTTTTATATGTTGTTTTGTCTTTACATGTGTTTGTAGTTGATTGATAGGTTAGAAACTTGGTCAACAAACTAACCACATACCACATATATTGGTAGCTTGCAGAAGAAGCTAACTTTGTAGCATCCATATAAAAAACTTGCCTTGTAAGTCAAGTTACATGTCATATAAAGTCAACATATTTTTAGAGGTCCTATAGAACGTCGCTATGTTGATTCTAAGTAGATAGTATGTATAGAAGCAAGAGTGAAGTCTTCTTTACTCTTATCAACTTCTTTTTTCCTTCTAGTCTAGATTTAAGAGTCTTTAGTTTCTTTGTCTTTGGCAATAGCCATTCTATTTTTTTTTTTTTTTTTAAATACATACTTCTTTATTTTTTATTCTGTCCCTTTACTTTTGACAAGGATTTCACAGGTTTATGCATCTTCTTTCACTTCATATGTCAAAGACAAGAACTTGATAAAAAAGAAATTCAGACAAGTGAGCCTTCACTCAAAGAAATGTAACAAAATATAAATAAACAAGTATGTATATTGGAAGAGAAACTAAAATGGCTATTGCCAAAAGATAAGAAAATTAGAGACCCTAAAAATTAGACTAGAAGCAAGAAAGGAGTTGACAAGAGTGAAGAGGGCTTCACTCTTGTCTCAATATATACTATCTAACTAGGTGCTACGTGGCGACGTTCTATAGGACCTCCAATATGTGTTGACTTTGTAGGACACATGCCTTGACTTACAAGGTAAGTTTTTCTACGTGTGGGCCACATAATTAGATTGATATTCAAGCTAACAACATGTGTGGCACATGGCCAACTTGTTGACTAAATTTTTAATCCAAAAAGTCAATTAAAGACACCTATGAAGTCAAAGCAGCATCTATGAAGCTTCTAAGAAGCTTCCATATTAAATACTTTAGAATTAAATTACTTTTACCTATTTTTACTTACTTCCACCTATTTGTATATGTAATTACTAGCTTATATGAATATGTCCGTGACATAACCCCCCCTTCTAGGGACGAGTTTTACAAGGAGCGGTCATCATATATTGAGGAAATCTATGATGCGACGAATTGTATTCGCCACATACTCTGATCTTTGTTCTCTTCGAAGTTGATTGATAGGGCCTCTCAACCATCGGTAGTGTCCTATACCAAGGCGGGAAGACCACCCAGTTATTTGAACATTGTTGAGGCCTTCATAACTTCCTTCGAATAGAACATTTGGAACACCATCAGGAATTGTTCCTACCTCTAGCAAAATCACCAAACATCGGGAGTCCCTTCCCAAATCGTGATACCAAATGCGTTGTAACTTGCCATCTATTCGAGGAAGAACATGTCGTTCTTAAAGATCTTCATCTTGATTACGTCGTCTTGAAGGTTGTGACATTCATAATGTCTCATCTGACAGGTCAACAAATAAAGGCTCTTGAGTCGAATCTGCTGGTTGTTGGTTCTCCATCTCCTGAGCATCACAACTATAAAGAAGCTACGAACAAGGATTGAAAGTAGAATGTTATCTTGCCTAGATGTTGTTTGTTTTATAAAGAAGATTTTTATCTTGATTTTGATAGATGTCGTCAATAAAAAGCCTCTACCATCTTTGCTGCATTTGTAAGATTCTTTATTGACTCCCATGTATGTTAACTAATATCATATCCATACCAATGGACAAGATATTCTAATTTATTTCAGTGCCACCTTGAATCTAAGACTTCTTCTACTTCAAACTCTTTATTATTGTCCACTTCAATAGAAGGAGGTGGAGCTTGTCAGCTTCTTGCTATGTCCACTGTCTTATATGATTCAAGAAGAGACACGCGAAATACTGGATGGATTTTTATTGACTCTGGTAGATGTAAACAATATGCAACTGGATTGATTTGTGCAGAAATAGAAAATGGTCCAAGTCTTTGATAGTCCAACTTGTCATAAGAACGAGTGGTCTTGATATTGCGACAAAGTAGCCATATCTTATCACCCAAGAGGAATGGTGGTTGTTCCTTTTGATAGACATCCGCATTGACCTTTTGTTGTTCTTGAGCCTCTTTTAATTATGCCTTCATCATTGCATATAGCTCTGATAAATGAGTCGCCAAATCTTTCACAGTAAGATTATCAACTTTAAAAAAGTCAAAAGTATCAAGTCGTGGATGATAACCATAATTAGTAAAGAAAGGTGTTTGTTTTGTAGAAGAATGTATTGTGTTATTATAAGCAAACCCTGCCAACGGCAAAAGAGTTGTCCAATCATCTTGTTGGTAATTAATGGTACATCTTAAATATTGCTCCAAAACTTGATTAACATGCTCCGTTTGTCCATCAATTTGAGAATGGAATGCCGAAGATAGTTTTATATTCACTTTAAGAATCTTAAAAAGAGTCCGCCAAAATCTTGATACAAATTGAGTTCTCCTATCTGATATAATATCCTTGGATAATCCATGATAGCGATAGATATTGTCAAGAAAGAGCTTAGTTTTTTCATATGTGATAGATTTTGTATATGGTGCAAAATATGCCATCTTGGTAAAACGATCTACTATCACAAATATAGAGTCATAAGAACCTGAGATTGGAAGATCCGTGATGAAGTCCATAGAAACAAAAGACCATGGTTGTTGTGGAATGGGTAATGGCTGAAGAAGTCCAAAAGGTCGATGACGAGGAGTTTTTGATCTTGAACAAACATCATATGATTGTACAAAATCTTTGACTGCCTTCCACATTTGAGGCCACCAAAAATCCCTAGATATCAGCTCCAAAGTCTTATTATATCCAAAATATCCTGCCGCTGAAAAGTCATGACGAGCTTGAAGAATACGTAAACGTACTTCTCCTTCTGGAACATATAGGCATCCTTCGAAATAGAGTAGGTTGTTCTTGAATTCAAATTTAGAGGGATCATGAGATTTAGAAGAATTATTCTTGATATCATGAACAAGAAGGTCTCAAGACATACTTAATTGGACTTGCTTAAGAAAAGTTAAATCAACAGTCAATGTTGATTTTATTGCTCGAAGATGAAATTGCTCTGGCTTCAAGAGAACCGTTCTTTGTTGCTCATAAGCTGCATCTCCTTCTTTTGGTGCAAGATAAGAACATCTAGACAAGGCATCAAACAAACCTTGTTATTTTTCTGGCCGATAAGTGATGCTGAACTTAAATCTTGATAAAGACATGCTTCAACGAGCTTAACGATGATTTAATATGCGTATTGACATAAAATACTCAAGGTTCTTGTGATCCATATATACGGTGACTGGATTGGAAGCACCTTCTAGATAATGATGCCATTCTTGAAAAGAATCCACGATTGCAAGAAGTTCTTTGTCATGGATCTCATAATTGATTTATGCTGTTGAAATTGAATGAAAGGCTACTGGATGAAGTTTGTCATTTGTTCCCATTTCTGATAAAACCATACCTAGAGCAAAGTCTGATGCATATGTTTCCATAAAGAATGCTTTGAAAAAATCAACACGATACAAGATTGGTGCAGAAACAAACGTTGTGTTCAAAGATTCAAAAGCAACTTCTGCTTCTTGATTCCATTGGAGTTTGTCTTTACAAGTCAAACGTGTAAGTGGAGCTACAACTCGAAAGAAGTCTTTGATGAAGATTCGATAGTAGTTGGCAAATTCCAAAAAACATTGGACATCTCTTACCATTTTTGGGATCTTTCAATCTATATTAGTTT